TTAGTGGAGAGGTTTAAAGGAGCTATTTGTAAGTTTTGCTATTGCTACATAGCTAACATTAGCATTAACAGCTGTTTACTTACCAGTCTAGACAACAACCTGAACAACCTGAACAACCAGACACGTCATTTGTTCCAACCCTCTAATACGACCCTGAGGAGTGTCGCCCGAAATAGGACTCCTACGGTGGCAAGTGTACCAGACCTTGGTTGTCATGGTTACAATAATAAACACATGGACTGTACAGACAGCAGCGTACCTACATTCATCGCCATGGTTACGATAATAAACGCTCCTGGCTAGGTTAGGTTTAGGAAAAGATCGTAATTTGGGTTAAAATAAGTGCTCCCTCAACATTAGACAATCTTTGTCGTCATGGTGACAATAATAACAACATGTCGAACTGTCATGGATAATAGAAACAACATTAACTGTTACCTTTACTACTGCCACTTTTCTTCTGTGTCATATTCCTGTTTGGTTGTCACATCCATCCAACACAACCTCCTCCAACCGCAGAATCTCTCCTTATACTACGTCACTGGACTTCTTCCTTTGCTCCTGTCATAAGTACTACAGCCACTAGATGTCGCCTAACAACAAATCATAGTAATAATGATAATAATAATGGCTCATAATGACCTGCAGCACAAACGACCCGTTGGCATATTTTTTACAGGCCAGTCTAGAAGAAACGTTGTGAGTTCAGCATCAAACTTCATCCCTTTATTCACCAACAGCTGTCTCCAGAGGTGGAAAACAACACCAACGTTAAATCTTATCTCTATCATGTCTTTTCTTCTACTGAAGTTAGCACGCTAACCAGCTAGTCCCGGCCAATCTCGTCATTTAAAGTTGTAGCACCACTCAGAGGGCGTATTATAACCTCTTGTCTTTTAAACGCAACGATGACCAAGTTCTTGTCAGGCGACAATCACCACCACCTGCTCCTGGCAAGAAGCCATGTTTGGTGGCCGAGAATACTTACAAATAGATGGATCGGTTCAGCAAAGTATATGATAGCGGCATGAATGATAATGGTTCACATCCCATCTTCTACCAACATGACTGTAATGTTTTCCAAACATTAACCTGCAGTTGATCTTTTAAGTAACCTTAACTAAGTATATTTAGTTGCCTGATCTCCTTTGAGTTGCTTTTCAAAAACACTGAAAAGTAATGTACATTTTTTTAAGAGAGACCGAACACCCATCCAAGACTTTCCCAGCCTAGGTTCATTAATCTCTATCCATCCCCCCTCCCTGCTTGTTTAACCAATCCACCCAAGATGTCATCATGTAACTTCATCTTTTCAACCTCCCCCAGAAAGATGCGCCAACAAATCACTGAACCCATCGCACAAGGTCTGCTCTTTTATCTTTCACTCAGCAACCAGGAGTTATAGGATGTGTCATCATTAAACTGCACACAGCCATCCTCATATTTATTAACCCAGCCTGTCTGTGTTGCCTCATCCCAGAGGACACCACAGGGAAACCAAAAGAAAGATCTAACACTGATGAGTCACTGCTGCTGTTTGTGCGCACATACAATTTCATTTATGCAAAACTACAGCATCTCATTTAGCAGAGATTAGATTCTCTTCTCTTTGTGTTTCAGGCTGACAACTGTGTTTTGGATATTTATCATGATGACGAGGGAATTGTGTTCGTGTTTTCAGCAAACTGCCCTCACAGGCTACACTGACTGACTGGATATTTTGAATATCTTTTAAAGAAAAAGGGGCACAAAACAACAAAACATTTGGTTTACAGGCTTGGTGGTTTTGGCTTTTCAGGTGAAATGGAATTCAGAGCATCTGGATATTTGGTTTAGTTGAATATTTACAGAGCAAGACACAATAAATTTCTACAAATTCACATCCTGATAAATATTTACAAAGTGCTAGTGAGCTTGAGACAGAGCATCCTAATGAACGGAAATGGCTGGAGAGTCTGTATTTTGTTTATTGCCAGCAAATCACAAGAAAAGACCAAAAACCAACAGTATACAGGTCTGTGTCTCACCCAGGGTTTGTTTACACAGATTAAACTAAAATTATCCTTTGAACTGCCATTAGAATAATAATAAACAGCATCAAAACTACAAAGAGCAAAATTAACATTGTGCAAATTAATTTTTTGCTAAGGTTTAAATCTTGAAAACACCTACTGAGAATGTGTCAGATTCACCAGACATTTGTCAGACATGGGAATGTAAAAAGACTTTTCTTGACTCACTTCAACTGTACAGAAAAACGGCTAATTTGGATAAATATCTGGCTAGAGTACCTCAAATAATTCCTCTCTATGTATGGTTAATCCGGTGTGGAGACAGCTCTTGGTGAGTAAAGGAAATCGTAACATTTCTTCTAAACTTGTAAGTCTTACAGCTGCTAATGCGAAAGTTGACAGTGTAGGGATAGCAAAACTTACAAATAGCTCCTTTTTAAACTTTTTCTTCCACAGGGAAATAGTCTTGGATCTTACTTTGTTTTCAGAACTGTGACCTTTTTCATCCCACTTGAGTTTTAGGCTTAATCTGTTTATCTGACTGTAAATCAGCAGATTACAGGGATGTAAACAGGGAAATGTTTCACAAAATGTTTAATTTTGCAAATACGTGGCCTTTAAATCACCTCTCACCTGGGGTTAATAAAGTTAAAGAGGCACTCCACCGATATTATATAGGACCATCAGTTAACTAGTAATGGTTAGTTCTCTTTACCTTGTGGAAACAGTTTCATGTCGTGACTCATCCACATTTTCCAACCACAAATATTGATTTTAGTACCTTCAAACCTGCACGTAGGTCAAATCCTCAGGGTGAGGGCATCCAAATCTGAAAGACATCTGTCCAACAATGCGTCAGGCTCAATGGGCAGGCGCTGGCCAAGCTGGGTGTGTTATTACAGTACAGCTGCGACAACAGAGCTTGAATCAGCAGAATACCAAAGTGGATGAATGACTGTTCATCGGTCATGCTTCAGCTGGAGAAGACTGTCTCATCTAATGTAAAGAGAGACTGCAGGCGCAGCAGAAATCTGATGTAACAGATACTGCAGGAGCACAGGGAGACATTCAGGAGACAACAGATATCCGTAACGTCCTTATTGTCTTAATGTAAAAGATCTGAATAATAGAAACTTTCACAGACAGATCATCAATCATGATTCAGCATATGGGTATAATCTCATATATATACTTTATTTTATGCTGCTAGATGAATGTATACATAGTATACAATACAAAAGACAACTGATGAAAATAACATTATCTGTACATGATGTAAAAGAAAAAAAACTGTACAAAACCATCTTTTAGATGGTGTAACTGCTGGTCCCTCTGAACCAAAACAAACTGGGGATTAAGACTGAAGGGTTTTCCGTTAAATGTTAAGACTCATCACCTTTAAGTACAAAGAGTTATCTATCATCATTTTGTGATGTCTGATGGATTTTTACCAAATATTTGTAAGACTGTCGATTCATTTGAACTCCACATATTTCCAGGTGTGTTGGAGATGTAGTAACAATCCCATCGAAACAACAAAATGCAATGCCAGGATGTAAAGTACAACAATATCTGTTTGGTGGTTGATTGTTGTTTTAAAGTGGATTTTACCTTTAATTTCACTATGGGTATGTTTCATGGGGAATACCTACTGAGCATATAGATATTCAGTATTTATGCTGCTAAGAGTGGTTTGAGAAAAATACAGATATTTTGATACTTCCTGGTCGAGAAAACTAGTGAGAAATGTTGGTCACATTTAGGGCTGGCTATCGTTCGTAAATATTGGATATTGGTACTGGCATCAATTCCAGTTCTTAATCATACTTAACATACTCAATTTAATCAACTCCTTTTAACAAAAAGAAAATTACACACTGAAACGTTTGTAGTGTTCGTGTAAATAAACAACCAATCACCAGCGTTATTAGATCTAGGTCCAAGCATGCTTCATGCTCATTGGCTCACTGACGCTGATGAGATTTACTCATTTATTCCTTAGGTATCAGATGACAAGACATTTTTTGATTCTTAATAGTATGAAACCAATTTGGTTGGGCATAAAAGTATTAAAGTTCATTATACAGCGCTAATCACAATTTACCACACCTTGTCACGATGTCTTCAAATTGCTTCTTTTGTCCAACAAACAGTTCAAAACCCAAAGATTCAATTAACCATCACATAAAAGAGACACAAGCAGCAAAACCTTCACAGTTCAGAAGCTGGAACCAGTGAAGTTTTGGCTTGAACATTACTCACTAAAGCCACCCTTTGATTATCATTAATTTCCTGTTGACAGATTAATCGATTGGTGGACTAACTTTTTACAGCCATCTTTAAAGCCTCCAGCCGCAGGAGGTGGGAGTTTTAACAGTCAGGAGAACATTTGAAGGTGATGACAGAAATGTAGCGCAATGGTTCTTTGAGTAAAGCCATACTTCTGTCCAGCTCATGCAGAGACGTGTCTCTCACAAAACTAAGGCTTTGTAGAAGGTTATAACTCTTTGGCAACACAGAACAAACAGTTGAGCAGAACAGGCAAAGACGCATTAGGATTGCACCATAACAACAGCCTACATTTACTTTAAAGACGATGCTAACATCTTAATTCTGACTCAACTAATTTTCCTTTTATAAAAAAATATTTTAAATTTTTGGTCTCTAGTAAAATTCAGGGATTCTTTGTTATTGATCCAATTGATAAAGACTGTTTCAAGTGTGTAGGATATAATGTTGACTGTCATGTTGGAAGCTTGTAAAGCCATTTTTTTAAGATGAACTGACTCTGAATGGCAGACCTCAGCCGATAGCACCGAATCAAGAAAAATAAACAAAGAAAGATGTAAGAACTGCAATCAGGTCTTGAACATGGCAGATACAGTACTGTGTTTCACATATCGATTAGTTCCTCAGTGAAATGAGAAAAATGTCAGTTCACAGATATCAGCACAGTGTGAGTCTCACAGACTTTCATCCATCCTTAACTTGGAATTTCATCCTCTGCATGTGTAGAAATGATGTTTGTGTGCAGATGTGTGTGATCACTGTCTCTGCATCTTTCTGCTCTGTGTACAGTTCACACAGGCATCATGTCGTCGTTCCTGGTCGAGGTAGACTAACCGAAAGTCAAACCTGCCACAGATGGTTTGACAGTTTACGAGCAGACAGCTTTTCGTCTTTATTTTCATGTAAACATGATGGGGGAGGATCCTCTCTATCTCCACTGGGTTTCCTCTGCAACTACAGTCAGACTGAAGTTGAGAGTATTTCTACCCAACACAGCGAAACAATCATTGTTACGCTGATTTGGGCTAAAGGTCGTGTCAAATCATCAGTTTGACTTCCAAAGATAAGTCCATGGGCCGCGTCAGTTCTGCTCTAACATGGTTTTAGGTTGCACAGGTCCAGTTCCTGAGGCTTCCTCCTTCCAGAGCAGTGCTCTCTGGGTAGATTCCCACCATTCTCGGTCATGCAGCGCACTGGCCGCCTTTTAAAGCCCCTTCCACAGGACTTGGAGCAGTGAGACCAGGTGCCAACATCCCACATGGGGCATGGATCCCCACATGCTCTGACTGCTGCAGGCCTGTCAGCACTGTCGCAATCCACTGCAGGACGCCCCTCCATGCTCTGGCACTGCACCAACCTCTTCTGGAGACCGCTGCCACAAGTCACCGTGCATAATTCCCAACTTCCTGTCACCCAGTGACTAACTGGCCTCTTACCCATCACCTGCTTCTTCGCTTCTACTTTGTTGCTGTCCACTAAGACGCTGTTCTGCGCTTTGATGCTTCTCTCCTCTTTCTGCAGAGTTTTCTCCTCCTTGCTCTCCTTGGAGATGTAGAAAGAGTAGCGCACCCTGGGTGGAGTCATCTTCCCCACAGAGAGCACCTCCACAGTCAGAGGCTCCTGCAGGGGTCTGGTGGCCTGCAGAATCTCCACGGACGTGGAGGTGCCGCTGTACCGCAGCAGGCTGCCCTTCACCAGCAGGTCGCGCTCCACAGCCGACACCACGTAGTTGCCGTTCAGGAGGTACTTCCCGTAGCGATTCTTCACAGCTAAGTAGTTTTCATCACTGACCATTCCTCGATAGCCGCGCTGACGGATGTCAATGTTAGAGGCTCCTGCTGGCAGCATCACCACGAAGTTGTAGCCATGACTGGAGAGGAAGAGTGGAGATGTAAACTATTAATTATGCTATACATTATACATCAACACCAATGCATTAAGGCAAAGTAATAGTAGATATTATCCCTTCAGGATGTAAAATCTTGCGAGTATCACCTCGTGTTAAAAAAGCATTGTGTAATGCAACAAAGCAATGAAGATGATTTCCTGCCAAATCCAGGATGTTTTGGTGGGAAACATGAAATAGATTCTACATGAGTGTCCTGTACTAAAGGAACACTGTGACATTTTGGCCCAGATATGGTCATATATCATATATCACATATGGTTGACTCATGAACAGAGATGTTCATGCTCCAGTGATTCCTTTAAGCCTTTAGCTTTTACTCTGGGCTTCATTTTTACCTCACTGATCTTTCTTAGTTGTGTCTTTGAGTGATCTTAGCTGGGCGCCCACTTCTAGGGAGAGTAGCCACAGAAGTAAATCATCTCCATTTATAGACAATGATCTGGAAGAGCCAGAATAGCTTCGGCCCTCCTAAGAGCATGCTGATTAAAAATGACAAAAATCTTTGACTTTGTCAAGACTCTTGAGACTGGACATGTTGAGTCTTTTACTGGACAGGCTGAGCTTTTAATACCACACTACAGTGCAAAAAGATGAAACAGATCCAGTCTGCTGTCCCGAAATGTTTGTAAGTATCTACCCGGGAGACTTCAGAGCCTAGCTGATGAAGGACAGTGGGGGATTTCCTGAAATCAACAATCATGTTCTTTGTTTTGGTAACATTAAGCTGAAGGAATGACTGTTGGCACCATGAAGTGCACCATGACCCTGTTTCTGCTGCTGTAAGACGCTGACGATCTCTGTATCCTCAGCAACTTTTATAATGTTCGAAACTCTGCGGAGAACCAGTTATACATTGTATATCTGTGGAAGCGAGGTCTAAACGTAAATACCAATATACAGGCACTCTTATATTCCCAAAGAGGACAGACATCGGCCTGTAGTTCCTCATCTTTGTTTCAGTGACTGCAAATTTGCCAAGACAATAGCAGGGAGAGGAGTACGATTTCTTCACTGTAGTTTCTTTACGTGTCGCTGCACGCCTCCCCTCTGGCCCTGTCTCCTGTTTGAAGGCCCTTGATCGTTGCGTCCTGCTTTAAAACTCTGGTCGTCCCGAGGATGAAATACTGTTTTAAATTTACTTCTTCAATCTTGTCATTATCATTACTTTGGTCGTTTAACAAAAAGAAAACCCCTAAACATAAACCTAATAATAAAATATAGTCGACCTCCACATTGACCTTTTCCAGCGCTTGAAATGTGCCGATGGACTTACACAGGTTTGGTGAACATCCCCGAGACCTTCTTGCAGCCCTGGTTGTCTCCGCCACACACACCACACTTGTCAAACTTCTTGTTGGAGTCCAGCTTGCCATCGCAGCCCGCCTTGATGCATTTTCCCTGAACACATACGGCTGAGGTGTCAGGAGAGCAGGGCGTCCCATCCACAACCTGCAGGGTGTGAGGTTTTAGAGATTACATCATGCTGGGCTGATGTCATTGGGTTATATGTGAGTAGGAGCAACAGTAAGAGAGTAGAAAGAGAGAGCAAGACAGACGTTTTTTACTCCCAGTCTCCAAAAAAAACAGTTAGAGCAGAGAGAGTGTGCAGTGTCCATGAGTGTAAACGAGATGTGGCCTTGTGTTGCTGCTACATACTTGTTTTCATGCTGGTTGCATAAATAGTAGCTGACTGGCCACAGCTGTGAAGTGATACTATCCCTGCATGTTTCCCTTTCTCACCGCTCCATCCATCCTGCAGCAGCAGCCACCAGCACAGCACCACTCACTGCTGTGCCGCTGATGGAGCTAGCTGTTACTTATTGCATTGTGGATAAGAGCCAAATCACACTAGGCAAATAGTTACTGTAAACACAGAGCGCCTCAATAAATGCTTCAATTTCCCCTCCCATGAGGCTTTGACTCACGACTAAGTGTTCAATGACAAGGAGTTCAGATTTCATTAGCGAGCACAAAAGCAGCTCAGAATATTGAGAGAATTTCCCAAAGTCACGTCTCATGTTTTTAGGCAGATCTAAGGACATTTTTATTCGTAGCCGCATGATGGAAGCTGACAGAGCTGCTGTCTACAGGCCACATGCAGCCACATTCACAACACAGCCAGCAATTACCAGGCTCAAATCAGCCTCGGGTAATTATGATTGGCTGGTAATGCGAAAGCAGTGAATAGATTTGCCTTTCTCTACTTTATGAACACATCCCGTCCACAGGGTTGTCTAGTAAACTTTATGTTCTTGAACTTGTTGCACTTTTTCAGTGATTAGAAAAAGTAAACTATGATTGAGGCTACGTCCCACTACCTTGTGTTTATTTTAAAACAAAAATGACCTCCGTCCAGATGACCGGTTTAGCTCCGCAACAGAAACTATGACCATCCACGTACACTGGGCATGCATGAGCTGGTGTAAACAGGAAGCAGATTGTCTACTCTGCAGTTGATTAGTTGCACAAAATACAACAAATGAGAAACAGCAAAGACAGTTGTGGCAGTAAAAGCAAAGACAAAAAGGTCAGTAACTCTTGTATTTCGTTATTCATGTTGCTTTCACGACTCGTAGTCAAGCCTGATAACCGGGGGTGTCTTCAAGTTCAAACAGGGACAGCAGCATTTCCAAAGGACTCAGTTTTAGGGGCTGGAAAACTAGCAAATATGTAGCAAAACTAATGCGTTTTGAAACTAACACGTAGTAGCCTGTATGTAGCCTCAAACGGATACAATCTGATGTTTGATATCAGAAATGATTAAGTGTAAATAGTAAGTTGGACACACCTTCGGAGCGAGGACGTAGAAGTACCCAGTCCCGTTAGCGCGGCAGATGAGCTTGCATTTGTCCTTGGGAGAGATGCCTGAATACTTGGGAACCCAGACCACAGATGACCCCAGCCGGTTGGTGTTCAGGTTTAAGCCGTTGAATGCCTCACATTGCTCCTCACGGAAACTCTTACCTGGAGGTGGAGAAAAACAACCATAGAGTAGATTGACAACTCCTCGAGGGATCGTGATTGCACTTTTGCAACCCCACTGCCCCCAAGTTAGCATGGCTAAGCTAATCAGGCTTTCTGTTCTTGTATATGCATTTTACAATAATAATAACACGGGCAATTAAAAGGGGTCTTATTGGGTGTGTTTTGCAAACGTAATGTAATCTTGGTTAACTTCGACTGTGGTTGCTGGAGTATAATTTTCCAAAAACCAATGTAGCATGTAAGCCGACCATTTAAATTTGAGACATTTTGAAAACTTATAGCTTTCCATTAAAGTGACAAAAACAAGCTTAACTAAGAGACCGACTAATATAGTTTGCAGGTCTTTTAAACTGAGAACAAATAAACTGACTTCTCTATAGATCTAATCCATGTTGCAAGTAAATTTGTATGATGAATTTAAACTTTTCATAACATTGTGAAACATTGTGCTCCCTCAAAAATCTGAATGCATGATGCCCTTTGTGTGTCTTCCTGTGTGAACACACTCAAACAGAGATGAGTGTACCTGTGTCAGGGCAGGGGTTGAGGTTACAGGAGCGATATTTGATGCGAAGGCCGTAGCAGTATTTGCCTCCGTTCTCAGGGACCGGGTTGTCGCACTGTCTCTTGGCGAGCTGAACTCCTCCACCACAGCTTCGGGAACACTCTCCAAACGCACCCCACTTCCCCCACCGGCCGTCCACCTGCGAGGGACAGTGGTCCATCAGTTGTGCTCATAAAAAGTGACCAAGAAGGACTGATGGGTCAACACTCACCTTGATGTGCATGGTAGTGTTCTTGTCAGTGCAGGCTCCTCGGTAGCAGACCTTGCTGTTGCCACAGCTGGTGCCGTCCGCCCAGGGAAAGTGTCGGGTCTGACAGACCAGTTGTCCACGGGCCTTCCCGGTGCACCACAGTTTGGAGCAGGGCTGCATGTATGGGCACGGTTTGGAGGCGTGACCAAAGGCTAGCTCACACTGACGGTGCAGGCTGTAGCTGGAGCCAGGCAGATTATCAGGGAGAGACAGCTGCCTCTGAGGCTGGTCCAGCAGGCAGTCTCCTGTGAAACAAACCAACAGCACGGCCATAAATCAGACTGCAGCTGCATTCCCTCATATGGATATTAAAATCGAGGTGACTTAATGACTAAAATCTGGAAGTGTGTTCAAATATCCTTCCATCTGAAGCCACCATGACCAGAGTTTTCTGTGGCCTTTGGTTGCAGCTTTTTTAATCATTGACTGTTTTGATTTCCAGCATCATCCCTGTTTCCAGCAGCAGCTGTTTTCAGTTTATAGAACAAAAGCTCTAACAAACCGACTGTATGCTACCAGTCAGCAGACAGACGACGTTAGTGACTAGCTGGTGAACATTTCGAAACGTAAAAGCAAGAAACTTCCCTCTGGAAATAAATAAAGAACAGATTAATATTGACACAAGCTACACAGTCCAGACAAAAGCCAAACAAATAGTTATGTTTATTTATATGCATACACATGATTACACATGTGCATACGTTTTCTCTGCTGGCAAATGTGGTTTCTTGCCAGGAGCAGGTGGTGGTGATTGTTGCTTGACAAGAGCTTTAGGTGTCATTGTATTCACAAGATAAGAGGTTATAATACGTCCTGTGAGCAGCGCTACATCATCAGGGTAGATAGAAAAGTGACAAGACGGGCCAGGGCTAACTGGTTAGTGTGCTAACTAAGAAAAGATGTGATAGAGACAGGAGTTAACATTGGCGTTGCTTTCCACCTCTGGAGACAGATGTTGGTGAGTAAAGGAATAAAGTTTGATACTGAACTCACAATGTTTCTTCCAGACTCGTATGTAAACAGCTGTTAATGCTAATGTTAGCTATGTAGCAATAGCAAAAACTTAGAAATAGCTCCTTTAAAGTTGGTATTTAAGTTTCTCTTTACACGCACACTTTTAAAAACATTTGATGATGAACAAATTTGTATGAACTTTATACATTATTTGTTCAGTACTATAATCAATCAGATCATGAAATTTTAACAGAGCAAGTTCAGCATCAAACTTGATTCCTTTACTCACCAACAGCTGTCTACAGAGGTAGAAGGCAACCCTCCTTATTAGCTTTTATTTGTATAACATCTAATGAAGTTAGAATGCTAGCCAGTTAGCTACAGCCAGGCTGGCCTGTCTTGTCACTTTCCGATAGGGAGTCACTGTAGCGTCCACTCTACCCTGAAGAAGTAGCGCTGCTCACAGGACGTATTATAACCTCTTGTACTGTAAACACAACAATGGCGGAAGCTCTTGGACTGGTCACTAAACAGCTGTTAATGCTAATGTTGGCTAAAGCAAAACTTACAAATAGCTCCTGTTATGTCCAGTTATGATCTGATGTGATGATAATTCTTCTTGTAGTATAAGAACTGGATTTTTTTACATTTTGTTTGTATTTTGTCATATTTCTAAGCAATAGATGACGTACGGAACAATAACTGAGCAGTACAGGACCTCTCCCATCAATCTAATTGTTTAGATTTTTTTGCTGATCTCTTCCTCTTCGGTGTTTGATTTTTCTTTGGTGGTATCTTCAGTAATTTTAAAAGGTTTGGAGCCATTAGTGTTCCTCGATCTGCACCATGTCCAGTCCATCAATATGAAAATAATATGAATCAACTAAAAGGGTAACGCAAACTTGTTATCATCTCGTGGGAAGAACATGAACTGTATCATCTTCCTGATATCACGTCTCAAAATCAATTTTGCTCTTTAAAAATATTCATTGCAAGGATGGTCAGGGAAGTTCATGTAAGGTAATGACTGCAGGTTTTACAAGTCTGTATGGTTTATAGTATTAAAGCAATATTCAAAAATGACTGTACAATATGAACAACAACAGATATCATTTGATCATATAAATAATGCATGAATGAGTTTAAAGCAGTTAGTGCTATATGATCAATAACTTTGTCTTCAGTCTGTAGAAAAGCAGAGATAGCTCCATGTGAGAGAGGACAGGCACCTGATAATGTTTAGATTAAGCAAATTACTTATGTAGCAGAGACAGCGGTGTTGCTTTCTGAAGTGAGAGGTCTGTTTTAGTGGAGGTGATGAACTGGCGTGTAATTCCTTCTATTACACACAATCCACTTGCAGTCACTTATGGGAGTTTACACTCAGGCAGGAAAAACTTGGCGAAAAGGAGCTACTGAGGAGATGATATATTAAAACATTTATTAATGTTGATAGTGGAAGAAGGAAAAGTACTAGGATATACACAGTTCTTTTCCTTTCAAATGTATTTGTGCATATTCATTGCAGTCGATTCCATTAAGTATCTTTTCTGACTTTAATATAACAAATATTTTTCTAGTCCCATCCACTGATGCAGATGCTGGATATCTGGAAACAACATCACAGTACAGCAGAATATACCCAGATATTCAACAATCTGACCAGCCGACAACATAATCCACTTTATTAGTTTTTCATTCTCCAACACTTCACAAAGCTTTGCTGTAATCTTCTCTGAGAAGCTGAGAGCTGCGTCACTTTGAGTTTACTGGATTGGAAACAGGATTTCTGGAGACGGATCCAGAGCTCTGATCCCATGTGAGGTATTTTAGCAACACTATCAGAAGTTTTAATGTGTTTTAGATCGATTATTCCATCATTGTACCGTGAACAATATGCCCTTTCTTTCAACATGACATGGCAACTGCTGTACAGATGCCTACCAACCAAAATTTCCTGATTTTCAAGGGAAATATCCTCAACTAAATGTACGAAACCTCCGAGAAGCAACAAACTTGTTGCAATTTCCCTTGAAATCTTGCAAAGCCCCTTTCATGTGAGACAAAGCTCAAACGGATACATGAACATTTAGCAAGATATAAACAGTATCCTGATTCAAGAGACATTGCTTGTTTCAATTCCCTTTGGATGTTAGCAGAGCTTTAGTAATCTGAGATGCAACTCAGTATTATTTATTACTCTCAGATGAACGTACCTAAAGATGCTAATGGGATCTTAATACGAGAGAAATCTTACAGCCAAAATCACCAGCCACAACCAAGTTTGAGTAAAATATTCTTCAGTTCAATATCCTGCAAAAAACAGCGTCCTACAACTTCAAACCCTGACAGAGTGGACCACCGAGGAAGTGGGCAGCAGCAGATGCACGAAACGCCATGATCGCTTACTCCTTAATAAGTTGTCCGAAATTAGAAGCACCAGCGACGTCAGGTCAGAGTAACAGTGAGGAAGGGTCAGAATGTAATGTGATGTACACCTGAATGATTATGACTGGCTGTTACTAGCTACACAGCTGTGACTGTAAAAGATACTTCAAAGCCAGTCAGTCAATTCAAGAGTGACTTTAGTGCTCTATGCTTCATTTTCTTCATACAAGAGAAATATTTTTGTCCTTCAGTCATACTACTGAAATAATCAGTATAACTGTGATAAATTAGAGCCAAGGTCTGTTTCTTGTGGGTTAGATTACTACCAGCTGACAGCGTGAAGCCTGGACAGAATTAGTGGTCCATCTGAGTCCAGAGACATATACAGGAAGTGTTTACTAACCATGACCTCTGTCCAGGAACTCGGTAATGATGGCGGCGCTGCACACAGACCAGGGTCGGCTCCTGTCAATCTGAATCAGCGTGGGAGACATCATGTGGTTGTCCTTTAGTTTCCCAAATACCTCCTCACATGCCTTCACATTGTCGTGGGGCATGTTGAAGACGTGGCCTGGGGTGGGGGGGTTGGTGGGAACAGAGACAAGAAGGTCACGGCTGTTGTTAGAGTCAAGTAGGTCTATTTACAGTCGCACCGTGATTTAAAACACGATAAGGAGTTAGTAACAATTGCCTGGTAGACACAGTGAAGTTTCTGTGGTGATGACACTGAAATATGCATCTGCTAACTCTGTGTTAGGCAAAGTGGACTCAAATTGGACTGGTTTGAAGCTGATATCATAGCAGACAGGAATGCATGTGTGCATGGGAATATACAGCGTGGCATACATCCATGTTCTAAAGCTAGACTGATGGTGGTGGGGGGGGGTTGGTTCCCAAGGAATTTGTGTCCTTCCCTAAATATGAACATGAAGTACTTTCCAAAAGAAAAAAAAACAGACTGTTCAATCATGGGGACAGGATCATGTTGAGAGGAAATTGTGTAATTACTTAACATACATGAGGTTAGTGTAAACCAATGCCTCTCTTGGGGCCTCAAGAGTTACTTGTGCATCTGGTCTGAGGCAGGAGTCCTGCTTCTTTTACAGACCCCACAACCACTGATTATTGAAAATGTGAAATAACAAGTCACTTGTATTATTAACAGGGTTAGCATTAGCAATGAGTAAAACTACATGTATTTTAATGCTATCTATTAAACTGCATCTGAAAACAGATTAGCAGTGTTCAACTTTAGCTCTTTTTCCATTTTAAAATCTCACATATTTATCAGACTAAATCACAAACTCCTGAGGAATAAAAAAAGTATGTATTGTCAGTTTAGTTGCTGTGAATTCATTACTTTAAGCTGTACTGGACACATAAATCAAATCAGTATAATCTCATAATTCAGGTCCATGAAACGTCTAATGTAATGTCAATCAACAGTTATCAGTCTCTTGTCTGTGCGGCTCAGTTAGAAGAAAACCTATAACATAACAGTTTCAATGTGGTTATATGGTTTTTTTCTTGAAAAATAACAGTTTGTTCATCTGTTTATCCTGTTATGTCCTATTATGGCATCTTTTTGGTTTTGGTTTCTGACACGTTGGAGCCAAACCTGGCAACCTCACTGGGACATCAGGACTTGATAAAACTTGATAATCTGCGCACAGTTACCAGACATAGCTGTTGATTCTCAGGCAAAACTCATGGCATGTAACTTCCCCTAAAACCACAAACAATCATTTTTACATTTCTCTTTCTGCACATAAAAAGATGCACCATATAAATGAGTCGGCTTTTAAAGACGTTATAAACTTTGGATAAAGCAGGCTAACTGTTAAGCTAGGCTAACCATGTCCTTGCTCCAGCTCCTTAATTAATACACAGACATGAGAGTGGTATCAAACTTCCCATTTCACTCTTGGAAATCTAAACTTTCGTTTGGAAGACCCAGAGATCTGCTAGTTTTGATTCTGCTCGCCTGATTAGGGACTGATTTACAAACGAACATCAGGTAAATGTAATTAAATAGCTGGTAGGACTGAAACCCTGCAGTGTTCTGGGATCAGGACTGAGAACCACAGCAAGACCAAGAAAGTTGCAAAGCCCTCCAGGCAGGCCGGTTTGCACACTGATTATGTGTGTATACGTCCGTCAAAGCAGACTGCATAATTCCTCTGACACTTTAAGTTAAGGTTATATGCAGCTCTTGCCTTGAGCGCATCTCACTCTGAGGCCTGCTACAGCTCAGGTGTGTATTAGCATAAATCCAGAATGCATAGTATGAAAGTTCAGCCCCTGCCAATCAACTGACCGAGTTCGTGGGCCGTCGTGAAAGCGGAGGGCAAGCCGTCGTCCTCGATGACAGAGCAGCTCCTCTTCGGGTCACACATGGTCCCAACGTCAGCCATCCCCAGTGTGTCACAGGTTGTGGCCCCGCAAAGATCCTGGTGACACACAGAGAGTTAAGGGTTAATTTTTTCTTTATTCTCATAGGAAGCATGAAAAATCAGATCGGACTCATGTTCCAAACATGCTTTGTGTGGTTACAGCATTAATAGACCATAGAAGGCACTAATACAAAGCACATGGCACATGGGTTTGCTTATTGCTGCTCCGCTCTCAAAATATATTGCGGCACAAGGTCAGGGGAGATAGCCCATTACAGATTTCCCCTCGGTGTTTGGATAAGGGGTAAGACGTAAGGAGATAGTTTGGGAGGTCTAGATGAGTCCCACCTGCAGCCCAGGGTAAAGGGAAACCATGTCAACTCCACTCTGCACTACAGCTTAGTCTTTATGAGTTAATGGCTAATTCTTGCTGTTTACTCTTTTCCCCTTGGGGTACTTCCACTTTTGCTAATTTTCCTGGCCTTGTCAGACATAAACTTCAAAACGCCTTAAACAAACATCCATACTTGTCATGTCATGGTGCTGTGATTATCTTTTAAGCCTCCTCAGCAATAGCAATGGCTGTTGGGATCGGTCGGTTGGTTGTTTGGTCGGTCGGTCGGTCGGTCGGTCCACCACTTTGGTACAGACTGAAATATCTCAGCAGATGTTGGATGGGATCCCATGAAATTTTGTAAATTTTCTTCAATGATGAATCCCATTGACTACAGTGATCTCTTGACTTTTCCTCTTTGTGGATTTGAGTTTGTTGAATTTGTTTAGACATCAGGAGGAATTGTAATAACTTTGGTGGTCCCTTAGCTTATTATCTAGCACCACCTACCTGCATGACATTATCCTCAGCTGTACTTTGTGTTTTGTGCTAATTAACAAATGTTAGCATTTTTACACTCTAAACTGATAAGGTAGACATTACACATGCTAAAGGTTAGCATGTTACCATTGTTTTTGTGATCATGTTAGCATTAAGCTCAAAGCAGCAGTGGTCCTCAGTACATCACATACAGCTAACACAGCTGTAGACTCTTAGCATGTTAGCATTTTCACACACAAAACTAATATGGTGAACACTAGAGCATGTTGGCATTGTTTTTTCTGAGCATGTTAGCATGCTGACATTAGCATTTAGTTCAAAGCCCCAGTGGTCCTAAGTAGATGTGCAGCTTCACTAGCAGCTAGCATAACTGTAGACTCTTAGCATGTTAGCATTGTTTTTGTGAGCATGTTTGCATGGTGATGTTAGCATTTAGCTCAAAGCTTCAGTGTAGGTACATACGCAGCCTAGCAAGCAACTAGCATAGCTGTAGACGCTTAGCATGTTAGCATTTACACACACTAAACTAACATGCTGAACATTACACCTGCTAAACGTCAGTATGTTGGCATTGTTTTTGTGAGCATGTTAGCATGCTGATGTTAGCATTTAACTCAAAGCATCACCGTGCCTCACAAGCAGCTAGCATAACTGTAACCTCATTGTCTTGTCACTCAACATCATAGGAAAAGTTACAAGCCTTTTCCCTCTCACACAAGTCATTATTAATGGAATATTGGCCACGACTCATTGGTTTTAAGGATGACTGATGCTTTGCTGCATCCCATGGCTCTCTGGGTGTATCTAACATTTATTTTATTTCTGTTTGGATCTTTCTGGTCAGGGACTGTGTTATTATGTTTCATCAAAATAACTTTCTTGTTCTTTTGTAGTGTTCAAAGTAAATCTGAAGACACTGTGGATGATGAACTTGTTAACCCAGTGTTTCAGTGAGGCCCTGGGATGCCAGAAGCGATTTCTGCCAGCCATGTGTATTCCACACCACTTGCTCTCCGTAACCTATTACAAGATTTTTTCCAACGCAGCAGCTGCGCTCATTGTGCCCTACAAGGACAACAACACTGGACATGGACTTTCCTATATATAAGTGGCCTCAGTGTAAATGAGGGATCTTTCCCGTCACTGGGATGATTGTTCAGTCGTTCTGACCTTGAAGTGTTTTTATATGTTGCTGTGCAGTGAAGGAGAGAGGTTGTGTATCAGATGGCCAGCCGGAGCCAAAGACTGGACCTAATTGAAAGCAGGCAGCAACAGCGAGACGTCAGAGAGAAGTTAGTGACTGTGGAGAAAGATTTACTCGTCAGCGGTCACAGCTCTGGTGGCCACATGGGATTATCTCACAGTTGTGGCTTTGCTGAGAGCTTCAGATAGTGTCAGCTCACATCAGCTCGAATGAAGGAGAAATTTGGATTCTAGTATTTTTATAAAACGCTTTGGTCTTTATGAAGGTTCCTTATGAAGGCAGACAATGACCCAGTTATTATTCCGTAGAAGCATAGGTGAGGTCTTTCATGGAAAGAACTGGCTCAGTTGATCTTTTCCAGTGACTCATTGAAGCAGCTAACACAGAACTAAATGAAAGGCATTGAACAGCTGTGCAAGATAACACATTGGTTCACAGATGGATCAGTGAATGCGTGCAACAGTCACAGGTCAAGTGGAGAAAGTGACCACAAAGATGCAAAACGACTGCAAAGAGACACAAAATGAACCCAAAAAGATGCACAATGAACACAAAACGACAACAATGATCACAGTGTAAACACAAAGAGATGCCAGATGAGTTGTTTCTGCGTGGCTGAGTCTTGTGGTTCACCTGTACAGACTACAAATGTCATTTTGTGTCCCTTTCAGTCTGGCTGTCTTTCTCATATGTCTGTGCCCAGGACCCTTTATCTTATAATCTGTCTGTGCACACATGTATGAGTGCAGCATGTCTATTCTCTTCCTTCTACCAGCCACTGTATTAGATGAGTTCAGAGTTTGATGGAGCCCCCTCCTCCTCCCCTGCTGCTGCTGCTGCTGCTGCTTACCTGCTTGGTGAAGAGTATGGCCGTGTCCCAGTACTCAGGATGCTTGTCATTGTGTTTGTTCAGCTTCTTCTGCCAGGAGCAGAAGTTGCGCAGAGTCAGAGCGGCATTAGTGGAAACCTTGGGTCCCTTGTCGGCTTCATTCAGCACCATGAAGCCCACCACCACTATGTTTATGGAGTTGAAAATGCTGGGGTGTTTGTACAGCCTGGCTGCCACTGACATCAGGGTCAGGAGGTAATGCTTCAGGTCGTCCCCGTGAAATTTAGCCATAGATTCATCCGCCACCACGAGCACCTCCACAAATCTGGGGATGGAGGCGAACCTCTTGGATCTCCCCAAGGTTTTCAGCACAGTTTCAGTTAAGCCATCGTTATCCAGTTCACTCATGTACTTGTATTTCTCCAGGGAAGCGGTGGAGCTGGTGTCAGGTGCAACTCCACACCTGCTGGTGAAGTTGCCTCCTGAGTGCGCAGCGCGTCTCCTGCGGCGGATGACATGCGTCCTGTCCAAAGAGTTTCTAAATCCTGCTGCGTCTTCAGTCCTGTCCTGGCTGATGAAATACTCCATGCCGTTATAGTAGAACCCCCCGTGGAGACCTTTGCACAGGCTGAGCGCGGCAAAGGAGTCCGGATCTGTGTTGACATCACCGGAGTAGAAGCATTCCCTGAGGTCGGAAGCGTTGGATGCTAAGGAGCCGCTCTCAGGAGGGAAGGTTCCCGGTGCAAGGAAGCTAGAATCCGGCTCGAGGTGCAGGTAAAATTCCTCTTTGAACGCATTTAGTTTAATAACGATCTGTCTTTCATTCACCTGCTCCGCGCGCCGGTGCAGATGCTTTTCATCCTCTTGGTGATCCACGCGAACAGGTGTGAAGAAATCTACCTCCATGCAAAATGTTAGTTTCAGATAAAGAATGAATTTTATAAAAACAACGAAAGAATGAATTAGTGCAGCCATGTCTGCTCCTGCACGGGAAAAGTCCTCACTGGAACTCAGCTGCGGTGCGTTTGCGTGCAGTGAGAAGTTGTGCGCAATGGCAGGCAGCGCCGCTTGTGCGTCCTCACAGAACTAAGCACCTTCACTGGCGTCCAGCTGCTGTCCCATCCTGCACCGTCTCCACTCTGGACACCAACTTCTCTGAGCAGCTGCGCTTTAAAGTCGCGCACAAACACTGACGGTGATCACTGATGTCAACTGAGACCTGAACGTGTGCGCGCGCGCGCGCTAGAGAGAGAGAGAGCTCATTGGTCATAGCGTCTCGGTTTGCGCTGCAGACTGCAGCCACTTGTAACTCTCCAAATATTATTGTTGCTGTACAGCATGTGTGACAGGAACTGGAGCATCAGCCCCCCTCCCACCGCCCAGCCTCACTGAGAGGGGGACACACAAGCAGCAAAAGGCAACACGCACGCGCACGTGCACATACACAGACTGGTTTAATTTGGAGGTTTTAAGATAAGATAGTCTTTTATTAGTCCCACACAGGGGAAATTACTGTGTCACAGCAACAAGAAACAAAAACAATACAAGAAACAAAAACTGCAAAATGTCAATAATAAATACTCAGAAAGATAAATGATAGACAATAATACAATATTTACAGTTCGTCATTCATTTCAAACGAATGTGTCTGCACCATAAACTTAAACCTCATAACTGTAAACTTAATGAAGGAACACATATCTCCACAGATCTCTCATGTCCTTTTATTTTTTGTGGATCATTTTCTTTCCTTTTCAAAACACCAAATTTTACCTTCTTATCAAAATCAACATAAACACTGTCATGCAAACGCAATTGTAATTTTCTCTGCGCATCCTCCTGCAGAGGACAGAGACAAAGGGGGAAACGCAAACTTAAAGCAAAGGCAAAGAGCGACACCTGTTTGCGCCTGAAATCTGCTGGAGCATCATCGTGTCTGTATGCGCGGATAAGTTCGTAATGCTCTGGCGCCATCTGCCGGTTAATGCGTTAAACTGCGTCTCCAGGATCATTTTTATTGATGAAAGTTCTCACATTCCTCGCGCACAGGCTCAATAAAGTCATTTACAATGCGCCGGACAGAACATGAGTCCAGTCTTCAGCCTGTTAGAATAATCTTCTATAGCACCGTGAATGTAATGCAGACTTTATTGTACAAAGAAATATTTATAGATATAAAAATGTTTCATATCTGCAGCATTTGATTTTAAAATTGGACACATTTGGTTCTTTGTTTTTATTGAACTTTTGATTAAAGAAAGAGGTTTATTGGAGGCATTGCTCCTTTATAAGTGAAGTATGGTTTTAACAAATTCACTTAAAATTATTCAAATGTTTTTGGGTAAAGAGCACGTGAAGAAAACAGATCTTATAGGTTTCTCCATGTTGAGCAAAAACACACAATTAAATGATAATATTCTTCTTATTGTCTGGCTCTAATGTGATTATACCTTTCTCACACACAGCGCCTGTCAGTGTCAAACGGTGGTCTTTTGTGCAGGGATAAAGCAGAACACCCAGTGTGTGTGTGTGTGTGTGTGTGTGTGTGTGTGTGTGTGTGTGTGTGTGTGTGTGTGTGACTCCGAAATAACTCGGAGTAGCGGACTTCCAGCTATGCATAGTATTGATGTCCTGCCGCTGCTATATAGCCCGCTGGGTTAATAATAGGAACGCGGTTGTCAGGCTATTTCGGAAGGGGGGAGTGTCGACCTATTCTCATTGGATCCGTTTTATCCGCCAGTTTCTCCTGAAGTGCGAGTGGGAGGAGAATTTCCAGGATATCAAAAATAAACCCCCTCATGTCCAAGGAAGAGCAGAAAGTATAAATACCACCGATATGTCCAGACTGCAGCGGTGCTGGTGAGTGGTACAACAAGACTTGAGCTTGGCTCTGGGAATTAGAAACGACTCAGACAGACTGAAATTAAATACCAGACACATTTGACTGAGACTGGTTTTATGTTTTTACAGCACCGGAAAATCTCTTTTAATTTGAAGAGATCTCTGATTTTGAGAAGTTTCTCTTTCGCCCGGAGAAGACGCGCCACTTTCCAGAGATAAAGGACTTAATAACATTGTGATCAACTCCCTCTGCAGAAGATGTGTCCCACTGTGCGTTTGATCGTTTTATCCATGTGCGTAATGAACGCGGCGCTTTCCGCTCCGTTTGAATCAGAGGATGTTGTACCTGTGCGGATTAGAGTCAGTGGCCGCTTTTGGAAAAGAAGCGAGGAGCTGCCGAGGTTTGTCCTCAGCGCGTTTGGCAAGGACTTGACTCTAAATCTTATACCGGACACCAGCTTCATCGCTCCTTCCTTCACCATACAGCGTATCAGAGCCAGAGATGTTGGCGCTTTACGCAGCGCCTCAGGTGCCAAACCTGTCCCGGACACAGATCTCCAGAAACTCATGAGCCAGACAGAGGACAGTGAAGGCCAGCTGAGGGGCTGCTTTTACTCTGGGAACGTAGATAACGATCAGAACTCGGTTGTGGCAGTCAGTTTGTGCTCCGGCATCTTTGGCTCCTTCATCACGGAGGGCAGAGAGTATTTGATTGAGCCCAAACTCAGCGGCAGCCTGGGGCCAGACTCCGCCGAGCAGCTGCATGTCATCAGGAGGAGGACATTCACCAGGAGCCCCAGTGTTTCCCTCCTGTTTGATCATGCGGCGGAGAAGCACAATGGGGAAAGTTTTACGCACGGGGACGGTGACGCACAGAGGGAACCTCGCCGGAGACGCTTTGTTTCCGCGCCACGGTTCATAGAGACCCTGGTGGTAGCTGACTCAACCATGACCCACTTCTATGGAGATGAAATAAAGGTCAGACACGATGAAATCATTCTTTCCTGCACACACAGTTGATAGGAACCTAAACACACCTTAGTTTAATTTCGCAACTGTCCCATAAACAAAATCCAGCAGACGTCATCTGTTTTTTTTTCTCCTTCTTTATTTCCACCATCCCTCCCGCTCAGTCAGGATTCACAGCCTAGGAAATATAAGGCAGGGATTTGTTTTTCCTTGCTGCTTCATAAAAATGTTGGGAGCTGGGGAGGAAACCGGTGGGCTCCCTGTTTTCCACAGGCTGAGAAAGAGGTCAGGGAACAGAAATGCAAGCAATGCTGAACCACATTCCTCGGGACTTGGTCATGATTTGGCAGCAAATCTTCAGCATCATCCAGGGAAGATTCACAGGGCTTACAATATCTGTTCTGCTCCGTCTTATAAATCCATTAAATCCTGCTGCAAACATTCAATATTTAAATTCAGCAGAATCTAATGGATGGTGTCTTTAAATGACAGATCTCCTGAAATAATCCTCCATAACAATATCAATCCTTTGGTTCTAACCAAAGACATTTATTTACTTTAAAAAAGTAGGACAATCCGTGATCCTGCCACAATCTGCAGCAGCCAGATTCTAGTCTGTTTGTGCTTAAAAAGCTCCTCAGCTGCCAAACACTCAGCCTCAAACCACAGTCAGTCACAGGCACCAGAGACAAGTGGACGAAAGTTACGCTGAAAAATTGACAGACAGGTTCATTTTAACATTCATTCATGTCACCCTGGTTTGTCTATGATGCAAGGATGGTTTTTGAGTGCTTCAGATAGAGAAAACAACCAAACACGTCGCTGTGCGGGTGTGTTTACAGCACATGTGGAAAATCTGTTTATTGGAGAATATCATCCCACTCTGGATGTTCTCTAGATAAAATATCAAGAGGACGTTCATTATGATTTACAAGCTGTCCACTAAGACACAAACCCTGCCCATCCCTACCTCCCACAACACAATCATCCCCAACTAAACTATTTGGAGGCAGCTCTTTATAAACAAAGGGATTCTTTCTGAATTCTTCACATAGAAGAAGACATTAAGGTATAAAATAACTTTTTTTTTAACAGTTTAGTCAGAAAACTGTTCTCCAACAGCAGCAGCAGAGACACAAGGCACAAATACACATAATAATAACAAATTATTACAATACAAGACAGAAATATGCAGCACTCCATGCTTTAAGTTCCAATGACGTCTCTTTTTGAGTCAAGTTTCCATTTTAAGAGGCACAGTAATTCCTGTACATGAGTAATGATGCACACGGTTATTTCTGTAAGCAAATTTTATTCATGCTCTCGTACTATGACTAATGCTTCAGTTAGCCACTGCTGTAGTGCAGTGTAATGCGTTTTCTTAATTACTTAAGTCATCTTTTTTTTTGTTTAAAACACAGTCAAAATGAAAACAAAACAAAGCAACAACCCTAAATAGGAACCTCAGCCAATTTAAGCCATGGAAATTGCTATTTTCATTTGCATGTGTGATAGGAGGTGGTGTGTGATGGAGCCCAGCTGAAACATCAGCAGTATTGGCCACTTCTAGCTCATTGCAGATACTGTATATATTTGTCGGCCAAGAGATTGCAGCACATGATAAGATCACAGCTATGTTTTGAATTATTTAGAAACACTGTCACCGGCAGAAAGGTCCTGTTTAGTACATATCTCAGTCACAGCTCTTTAATAACCAATTCTACATGTCCCTTAAAAATGTTTACGTAACACTGGCCTCAAAAATATAATTCAGTTTGGTTCTAGTCTGTGCAGAGATGGAGTTGCCCAGATATTTCAAACTATGACCCCAAATATGATGAAAATCTGGACTGCACATGCTCCAATCACGGCATTGTAAGATGACGTATTTAAAAAATGTTCCAGATTCTTTCAAGAACCTAACATGGATACAGTGTCTTTGGATTCTTGGTGTTGTGGTGCGGTACATTTGGCTTTAACTATGCCCTCAAGCTCTTTAAATGTCTTGTGAGTAAAAGTTCATGTTCATGGAGGTTTCAAGTTTTTAAATGTCCTGTCTCTCCTCTTTCTCAGCACTACATTCTGACCCTGATGTCCATGGCAGCCCAGCTGTACAAGCACCCCAGCATAAAGAACTCAGTGAACATAGTGGTGGTGAAGATGTTGGTGGTGGAGGACGAGGATGTTGGCCCGGAGGTCTCCAGTAACGGAGGCGTGGCTCTGAGGAATTTTTGCTCCTGGCAGCAGCTCTTCAATCCACCGAGCCAGAGACACCCAGAGCACTACGACACGGCCATGCTGTTCACTAGAGAGGTGAGGGATGAGTACAGATGTGGTTTACAGCTGCAGGACGGTTGTCGAGGCCTCTGCAATAAAACCCAGCATCATCTGCATATAACGTTGTAAATATATGATGTATATATATATGACGTGGTGATAAGAATGTGATGACATTTGCCTGAATTTCAGCTTGAAGGTTCAGCTTGACAAAAAGCTTTCAACTCAAGGTCCACTTATTAGCTTCTTTCTGGAGCTTTCATCTGCAACTCACAGTCTTCTTGGATAGAGTTTGCTCAGTTGTCACAGAGACTTCATCACTGAAACAACAGAAACCCTAACCCTGGACAAGAGACTGAATTAACACTGGAAACATCAACTTATCTAAATACCGGACCAAACCCAAACCCAGTTCCAATACCTGGGTCACGTGATAACAACCGAGCCATCTCAGTTTTAAAGAGCAAACTTCATCTACAGAGGAAGACTGTGAGATGTAGTTGAAATCTCTGGGGGGAAAAAAGCTAATAAAAGGACCTTGTGTTAAATTTGATGGAATATTCATGCAGATTTAAAACAGCAGTGGCCCGAGAACAGATCCCTGGGGGACACCACATTTATGGAAGGTTTTATTGTAGAGTTTTGGCTCCTGGAAATGCTGAATTCTTATAATATTTGGGCATGAACTGTAATTTAGAGCTGCATTTATAAATCTTTTTATATAAACAATGGGTCATGAAGAAAGAAGACACTTTTTTGGTTATGCCTTTCCACTCTCAGCAGCTGCAGGAACCTCTTTTTAGCGAGAAAACTCTCATAAACTGGCTGTTTGTACATTAGCTGCCAGCACCAAATGGAAAACAAGTTAGTTAGTAACTAGCTCTCAAACATTTGGGAGGGGCAGATATATTTCAAGAACTAAAAGAAGAGTGAATATTGGACTTATGTTTGTCAGCTCACCAGAAACACAGTTCAAAATTAATATTAATGTTTCTCTGGCTAACACATTAGCTGTAAAAATCTTAATCTTATTGTGGAGCTCTGCCCCCAAGTGGCAGAAAAAACAAAGAAAATAAGATGAATGCAACTTGAAAACACAAGTATTAACAACAAAATATCTAAACACTGGAATCAGGCTACAAGAGGGACAGTGATCATGACAGATAACAGTGATCAGGTTTCTCTTCAAAGCATCAAACAGTACATACAGTGTTGTGAGCTATTTACACTATATTACTAGAATGCAAAATCAATTCACCCACGATATTCTGGAATATTTTGTTCTCCAACCCAACAAGGATGAGTCATGAATTAAACCCTGGTGGAATTCAGCGTCGGGCCAGCTGCGGCGCATGCTGCGGTATTAGAGGCATCACCCTCCACCACACAACCATTCCTTAAAACCAGAGTGTTTTATAGCAACACAGGTGAATTTTTGAGGCAATTTACTTGTAATGTGGAGGAGGTCCCAGCTGAAATGGGCAGGTTCTTGTCATATAGTATATTGCTCTTAACACGTGTGAGACTAGAAACAAGATGAGGTCAAGAAAATGAATTGTAGAGATGGAGTTAGCTGTAATCTTTTCCAAGCAGGGGGAATGTCAACAGAGTCCAAACAAGCTGCTTTATAGGAGCTTCGACAGGAAATAAGTTCACAAGTCCTTGGGGTTTGATATGTGATTGGCTTGTTCTGCTGTATTTGGCTGCTGTCTTTCATCTGGTGCGAGCATGTGGACAAGGTGTTAGCAGACAATACATCAGGGGAGTGCCCTGGTTGCAGCTTGATATTTATTGGTTTGCTGAATGACGTTAGCGTGTAAGTCTGACCCCGGATCAGGGGAAATGATGATGAGAACATATGGGATTCTGCAGTCTTGTTGAAGCAGCGTTCAATCTGGGGAAAAAAAAAAACCACTGTTCAAGCCAAACCTGCTTTGTGTTTGTTTTTCGATTTCCGCGGAGATATGCTTTGAAATGTAGAAGATGGAAGGATGAGCTAACTTTAGTGCCCCCACAAATCAGCCCAGACACGATGACGACACTCTAAACGGTCAGGAGTTGAGTGTGCAGCCGGGTAAGAGTTGAAACCAACAGTCAGTGGAGAGAGCTGCCACTGGTGCTGGATGTTGTGAGAGTCAGAATCTACCCTCCGCTGCGTGTAGTGGAAACATTTTTCTCATGGATTTTTGTGGTTTTATACTGTATGTGTGTGTTTGTATGTCTGTCTGCTTTGACCCACACATCTCGCTTTGTGTGTGTGAGTGCGAGTGTGTCTGTACATGAGTGACAGATGCTGTTGTGGAACGTGATGTACAAACACACGCTGGGCTGCATTCAACTGCTGCTCCAAGTCCAGATGTGTTTTGAATCACAGAGGGCTCTGCCTTGTGGGGTTTTTTTGTTTTTTTTTGTGGGGGGGCTGAGGCAAAGCCACGGACGCTTCGGTCTCCGTCCTCCACAGCCAGACGTCTTCTCGAACAGGGGAAGGTTTCTGATAGACCACACTATTCTTTTTCCCACACCACAGCTCCGGACAGCTGCGAGCTGCAGATATTTATTTGCTGTGTTTTACGACGGAAACACTGAGCAACGTGTTTTTGATTTGTTTCTTTAAAAATGGCAGAAAAAACAACTGGACGTACAGTAAATAGACGGTGAAGGTTCACCATCCTGCATGATTAATATACCAGTCTCTCAGAGCTGCCCAAACACGTACTATATTTATTATATGACAGAATAATGTCTTTAACTCCTCAATCGTCCAGTCTGCCAGATGTTTCTGAGCAAACAGTCACTGTGCTTCCATTTAACAACATTGTCCATGTATGAAACCTCAGATAAAGTCTGTTCTCCACACTGTCATTGTCACAAATTGTTTGATTACAGCTGATTCTACATGACGAGAACTAAACCTGAATTGATTTGAATGAAATAGTTTGATTGGATCCGCTACAAGTATGCATTTTTTTTTTTTTTTTATTAGTTTCAGTGGAAAAATCTTGGTGTTCCATGACATTAAAGCTGTTTGGCAGCAGCGCAGAGATTGAGAAGAGGCTGAGTGAACGCAGCTCTTGTTTCTGATTCTGAGTGGTGTGTCACTGCTGGTTATTAAGGTGGCGCATGGCTTTTACAGTTAATGGTGGGTCGTGTCTCATGTTCCCCTGGTGTTCCACAGGTAGATACCAATTGTATGTCAATATATAATATATATAGATACATATGACGTTAAATATATAAATAAATACATAACTAATAAATAAAAATAACATTTTCTAACGCACATTAGCATCAATCAAATTTTGTCGAAGGCCAACTCCCTGAGCTAGCCGTGCACGGCTAATGTATAGATGAAATAAAGAATAAGAAATCTAAAGACTATAAAATAAAGAATATGAAATAAAGCAGTTTGCTCATAGAATTACTGTCCAGAGGCAGATTTGTCTGCAGCACACGTCCTAGCATTGCACGCCGCTTTTATTTTTAACCACATCCCATCTTTGACTCCCGTCAGCTGGCTAGCTAATGTGAGAAAGTAAGCTAGTAGCAATATAAATGCTAAACAAGCATATACACAAAGCTAGCTCCACAGGCAGCAAGAAATGACCTAGAAACAACCAACATCACTGGTTGATAATCCTGCAGCCTCTCACACAGTGAAGTTTAGCATTGCAAGAATTGTATTTGTAATATTAGCTTGTATGAAAATCCTGCTCGTTCCTCATGATATACCAGTGACTGGATATCTGCTAGGTGTGTGATATTAAAGTTAGAGCAGACTGCAGTGTAAACTCCTGACACAGGGTTTAATCAGGATCATTGATCAGCCGCGCAGGATCACACAAAGAGACTGCACGTCGTTTTGAACTGTGGAAAGTTACAGCCGTAACAACATGATAAATTTTCCATCCAAAGCAATAAGTCTGCTCCTCTGTCAGCTGTCACAAACTGAAACACATCAGACGCAGAGCGGCTGGAAAACATTAGCAACATTCATTAAACAGCTTTAAACACACAATGAGCTGTTTTACATTAGAATTGGAATTTGTTTCAGTGCAAAACCGTCACTGGAGTCAATAACCAGTGATATACCATGAGTGCTGTGGTGTATGCATGTAAGAATCATCATGTGTAGGTGGGGATGGCGTGTTGCACCATCACACCAGCGCTAAACTGATTTCATGCACCGTATTCCAGTCAAACAGCAGAGATATACCACTGGTCAAAGTGCCATACTACTAAGAACTGACAACCTTGTGACCTCGGTGCTCCATTTTCTTTAGTGTTTGCTGTGTTTGTGTTGCAGGACATCTGTGGACAGAAGAGCTGCGACACGCTGGGCGTGGCCGACGTCGGGACGATGTGCGACCCCAAGAGAAGCTGCTCAGTCATCGAAGACAACGGCCTCCAAGCCGCCTTCACAGCTGCACACGAGCTCGGTTAGATTGAGTTTTATTGTCGTGTGTGTGTGTGTGTGTGTGTGTGTGTGTGTGTGTGTGTGTGTGTGTGTGTGTGTGTGTGTGTGTGTGGGCTTTATGGAAAAAACAAAACATCACATCCTTATCACCACGTCCTCTCCCGCTGCAGGTCACGTGTTGAGCATGCCTCATGACGACTCCAAGACCTGCGAGAGGCTGTTCGGGGACCTGGGAGGACATCACCTGATGGCCCCTCTGTTTGTCAGCCTCAACAAGACGGCGCCGTGGTCGCCCTGCAGCGCTCTCTACATCACAGAGTTCTTCGACAACGGACACGGTAGGAAATATTTCAGGACACTGCGGCTCTGTTACCAGTTGAATAAAACATGCTCTTCTTCCTCTCCTGCTCCGACTACAGCTCCCCTGCTCAAACATGTCACTCCCTTCAAATTATGGGTTTATCTTGCCCGGGATTTCCACCTCTTCTCTTTCCACATCCTCCTCTTCTCACTCTTTCCCTTTTGTGTTCCTCTCTCTCTCTCTCCCCGCCTCGTGCCGTGCATCTTGTATTGTTTGTATCCTTGCTAGACCTATCAGTGAACCTTCTTTCCCACTGAGTCATACTATGGACCTCTTCCTGTTCTCCACCTCCGCAGCCAAAAGCAACAGCTGGTGTCAGCAAAATATGCTCTTTATCAGTTGGAAAATGTCTCCAACGAAAACTCATGTGGCTGAGAATGCTCATACCGAACTGTGCATGTCATTGACAACTCCAGACAAGAGCTTATTGAATGTAATAAAGAATCATTAGTGGAACAATGAATAAATTCAGATTTAGAATAGCTGTCAAATGTCCAGATTCAGAGCACTGGCCTGCCTATAAAAAAATTTAAATTACTTGTTTTTATAGTCGGGACACAACTTTCCCTGAATGTTTTTCCACTGGTGTCACGCCACACACAAAGAGCAACACATTCACCATTGTCCCACTGCTGCCATTGTCGAGTTCAGAGTCTCCATAAACCACAATATCATTAGTCTCATACAGTATTGCTTTGTGTTGCGAGCGCAGGGGACTGTCTGCTGGACGTCCCAGAGAGCACCATGCCTTTACCAAGAGAGCTTCCGGGCACCAAGTACAGCCTGGACCAGCAGTGCCAGCAGACCTTCGGAGAGGAGTTCATCCACTGCCCCAACACGTCAGACAGTGAAGTCTGCAGCCAGCTGTGGTGTCAGGAGGACGGGACGCCGCAGTGCACCACCAAGAACGGCAGCCTGCCCTGGGCTGACGGCACTTCCTGTGGCCTCAACGGGACCTGTCTCCATGGAGCCTGCATGGCAACCCAAGAGGTGATGAAGCCACTGGTAAGAAAATGGTGTTTTTCTTCCACTGTGTTCATTTTGAAAGAAAAAATGAAAAAATCATGTTGGTAATAAAACCACCCACTGTTCAACTCATACACTTCGTTGGTCTGGTATGACCAGTAGCTTATGGTGGCTAGTGCTAGCTAATGTTAGCAAACGTAGCTGCGTAACTGACATTAATGAGACAGTTCACTGACTTTATGACTCTTCACTTCTTGAATTGTCAATTATGAACACAGTTTCCACCGTTACTCAGAAGTTACTTGGTCTTTACATCTGCAAGAGTCGATATTGGTTTGAACGACAAACCTACAGAGATTGATCAGCTGATTTTACAGCGATTTAGCATCTTTTAGCTCGCAGCTCTCATCAACCTCGTTTTCAGCAATAGCAGACAGATGCAGACAGATGCACATACACACAAAAAAAAAAGCTCTAATGAAGCTACTGTTCATTACCTGCCCACCACCAAACAGCAGACAGGCAACGACAGCAACCTGCTGGTGAACATAGTGTATTGCATTTAGCAGCTAATGACAGAATATTTTCTAATGAAGTGTTGGAAACAAAATAGATCTAGAAGGAGAGAGAATATACACTGGACATACACGACTCCAGAATAATGCTAATGTTGCTACTTACCTTTTGATGCAACGACCATATCAAGCTCATAACGCCGTAATGTGATGTGTAGTAATGTGTACATAAAGATGGACGACGTGTCTCCACTTCCTCCCGCTGTGCAAAAATGAAGGTTAGCAGGAGTTCAGACCAAAGAACGGCCCTCTGCTGAAACAGTGCAGGCGGCTGCGTTGATGGGGGCGTGTTGTTTAAAAAGGTACCAACAGGGACAAATACAATCTCTTGAGTCAAGTTGCAGTAAGAGATTATGTGTTTAAACACTTATCAGACAGCAAAACACTGCACAGCGGTTTGTTATACTTACTGACAGGATTTTATAAATGGAAAGTTGCCACGGTGCCAACTACACAATCGCAAGGTAAATACAGTGTTCACCTTCTAAAATAATGTTCAACCAGGAACCAAATCCAGGCAATGACGGAGAGACTGTACTAAAAGGGAGGTAGCTTTGGAAAATACGCTGCTGAGACCTTGTATTAGCTTTACACAGAGCGAGGACTGTGGACTTTGTCCCCCATCACTTATAGTTGAAGACACAGAATGAGCAGGACGAATCATCGCATCAACCAAAAACTGTTTCAGTTGTTTTCAGAGCAACTTGAAGAACTGTGAAGTCACGACAACACGTTGCTCTTCCAGAGTAGCTGTCAATCATTTCTGACCACATTAACCTTGAACGCATGTAACACGATGTCGATGCATTCACACTCTGTGGACTTCATGTACATCGAGTTTGGTGCTGCGTGCTGATGGTGTGTGTTTTGCTTGCTGCTGAGAACCAACTGCAGGTTTTTGATGAGTCACTTCCTTTGAAGTTCAAACCTCATTTTCTCAGAAACAGAGTAAACGAACTTGTAGTCGTGAAACTCGTGAGTCAGCAACTTTTGAAACAATCTCCCACCACGGATATAATCATAATTAGATCTGTGATTTCTTTAGGCCTGATAGAGTTTCATGTTCTGTGTTACAACATTAATGACATGGTTATTATCTTAAATTAACTGTGAGTTTGCATTTTGCCCAGATCAATATCTGGTTTAAAATTATAATTGTAAATTTGAACTTAATCAAAGTTCTTTCTTGACCTTGAAAACAGCAGCTGAAGAAGTTGTGTAATATTGTTGAAAGGGACCTTGAGGTAAAACTGTTTTGTCATCTGTTTTTTTTCTGAGGTAAAGACTGAACGTTCATGCTCGACTTTTAAGCCAATCGTGATGAGAAGTCCCGAAAGCGCCAAGAAAAATGGAAATTTAAACGTCTACAATTGCATAACAATTGGGCAGAAGAAAACTGTGTGACACAACTGAAAGCTGCAGTTTAACAATCTTAATAATTTGTTTAATTCAGACTTTATTTTCCTTTTTAACCAACAACCCAAAGAACTAATGCAAAAAGCTGCATTAGAAATCTTGTGTTTTAGGAGAAGACTTTCAGGTTAAACTACGAAAAGTAATAAATACAAAGAACTTTTCAGTACTGCAGCTTTGTGCAGTTTTAAGTAGAAATACATGAATGAAAGTTCAGGCTGAAAGAACAGATTACAGCATTAAATCCAGCTGCTTCCTTTAAAGAACGTTTCTACGTCTCACAGTTTTATTTTAGCTTGATTGCCTTGATATCTTCTCCTTGTGTTTATAATGACACATCTGTTTATGAATTGTGATGTTAGCTGCTCCAAACTCAGAAAACATCTGGAAAGGACACCCACGATAGCAAACACACGCCCATATATCCTGCACACACACACACTCACACTCACACACACACACACACACACACTTACTTTCATACTTTAGCCTCACAAAGCTGCAGCATGGCAGGTTCCCCCAGCGGTGAGTGACACATGTGGCAGGAACATGGGTTGAGGCAGACAGCAGGCGCGTGCCGAACTTCAGCTCAGATCTGGGCTGGAGGCGCGGCACGCCAACACACTGTGCGGCCTCAAACCCAGAAGCCCAGACTGTGGTTTTGGACCGAGCAGCTGAGATTGCCTTTGGCACCGAGCTCTAACCAAATACTCTGACTGCTCTTTTTTTTTTTTCCCCCCTCTTTTCTCGCTCGTGTTGTACCGCAGGTGGTTGTGGACGGCGGCTGGAGCTCGTGGGGACCGTGGCGGCAGTGCTCCAGAACATGTGGAGGCGGGGTGGAGTTCTCCTACAGGGAGTGCACTGACCCCGTGCCTCAGAACGGGGGGAAGTACTGTGAGGGCCAGAGGGTCCAGTACCAGTCCTGCAACACGCTGCCCTGCGACAACAGTGAAGGTGAGAATCAGCGCACACCTGAGGCTGCTGATAGTGATGACATAAACTGATATGTTATACATATTTTTCTTTGTAATATTTTGCTATTTTATAATAATGATACTAATAATCTTTATTTATACGGAAACTACGTTACAAAGTGCTTGAAAAAGAGCAGATAAAACTATAAAAACAATCAGGTGTAATTTTAAATAAATGTAATAAACATTTTTGAACCAAATACAAACATTCGATGTTTTGACCAGACTTTTATTCGTTTGGCAAAGTAGAAATAATGACAAAAATCATCATTCACCAATCATCATCATCCTCGTCATCATCATGCTCATGGAATCATACCAGTAATCCTCCTGGAATCAATTTACCTCCCACCTTCAGGCAGCCAGGATAATATTACATTTCTCACAACTGAAACTAATTAGTGGTATTTTTGTTTGATTAATGACTTGGCAGTTGAATTCTATCAATATATTTCCTGATTAAATTTGTATTGATCAATTAATCGACTTATCGTTTCGGCTTTTAGACCGGAACACATCCAGTGTATCAGCCTGATATACAGGTTACTGCAAACAATCAATCATAACATCATTTAAATATTTGACCAATATAGAAACATAAATACAGACTTATTCACTTATATTAGTAACATATATTAATTATATTATATATAATAAAAGTTTTATTATTAACTTAGTTGATTGTAGGGTTATTTTATAGAGACTATGTTTTGGTAGGTAGAGAGTTTACTTTGAAAATGATTTGTTATTATATTTTGAAGAGCTTCCTGTTATCTGATCTGTTGTACCCGACCTGGTGTTTGACCCACAGGGAAGAGTTTCAGAGAGGAGCAGTGTGAGAAGTACAACAGCCTCCACTACCTGGACTTCAACGGGAACATGAAACAGTGGATACCCAAGTACGCCGGCGTTTCTCCCAGAGACAGGTGTAAGCTGTTCTGCAGGGCCAGAGGCAGCAGCGAGTTTAAGGTGTTCGAATCCAAGGTACAGTGTCTGCGCTCAGCGCCACAGCTCCAACACAACCATGTTACAGATGACGTGCTCCAGCTCTGATATGATCTGATGCTTTCCGATCAAACTGAAACTATTTCTTCAAATTCAGTTTTGTTTGTCAGTGACATGTAGATCTTACATGACACAGCAGGAGTCTGGCAGTTTGTTTAGGTGTTTTCAGTTGCATCTCATGGTCTTCATCAGTGGGTGGAGCTTTAAAATCAGGTCTTGCACAATCAGGATGTTTCATAATTGTATCCTGTAACCTTCATCCACTGATGAAAACTGTAACCTGTTATTGAAAGCTCTGGAAAAAGCTTGTAAAAAAAAAAAAAGACCTTGAGTTAAACCTATTTGCAGTTGTCCTTGTGACAACATTGCACCTGTATGTGTAGAATCAACACCCACTTGTTGTGTCGACGCAGGTGATCGATGGGACGACCTGCGGCCCCGACACCACATCGGTGTGTGTCCAAGGCCAGTGTGTGAAGGCGGGCTGCGACCAGGTGATCGGATCCAACAGGAGAGTGGATAAGTGTGGAGTGTGTGGAGGAAGCGGGCTCACCTGCAGAAAGATCACAGGCTCCTACAACAAAGCAACGTAAGTGGCGTAAAAACAGAAAATGTAGTTACACTTCATATTCACTGAAGTGCACGTCTTCATTTCCTTGCTCTACAGTTGCAGAGCAGGAGAGTGCAGAGAGGGTTTTGATATCAAGTTGTGAGAGTGTTGATCTCTGATTGGATCAAGACTGTGGCAGAGAAACCATAACTTCCTTTTGCTTGCTTATCTTGATGTTAATATTTTGAAGCTATGAGAGCATAAACATATTATGACCTGGTTCTGTCTATAAGTGTATTTTCCATATGACAGAACGAGGCTAACTGTTTTCTTTATGCTAAGCTAGGCTAACTTCCTCCCAGTTCCAACCATGCACTTAAAACTCCATATTTTCCTCTTCCCATGTGTTTTATTTTGAAGTGTTGATCCATAAGAAGATATATTTGTGGTTTTAAGAACCAAAAACCATCTCAGTGTAGTTTTACATCTCCTCTCTCAGGCTTCTCTCTGGAGCTCTAGTAACAACAGGTCGGTGAGCCAATCAGAAGAGAGGAGGCTCTGAGCCTGTGTTTAAATGGCTGGCGGTTTTTGTGAGTGATCCAATAAAAATATAGCAGATTTCAGGTAAAAACACTCAGAGAAACCAAATCCTGCAAGGTTTGGATGGTGGGTCCAGGTGGGCGGGGCTTGGTGACTGCTTTGTTGTGACATCACAAAGTTCCAGAAGTCCTGACGGCTGGTTTTAAGGCTCAGTTTCTGAATACAGGCTGTGTGCATTTCTCTGTGGACTGAGGCTTTGATACTTTCACAGTATTAATATAGAAGCTAGACCTGCTTTTATCCATTTTCTATTCTGTCTCTTGAAAGAAAACATTTTCCAAAAATTTTAAATCAGTTTAAGGCAAAACAAAGTCTATACATGATCAAAACAAAGTTCTGTCTTTTCTCTACCAGATACGGATACAGTGACATTGTGACAATTCCCATTGGCGCCACAAACATCGACATCAAGCAGCGGAGCCACAGAGGGATCAAACATGACGGGAACTACCTGGCGATAAAGAGAGAGAGCGGTGGTTACATCCTCAACGGTAACTTCTCTGTGTCCACGGTGGAGCAGGACATCCCTGTGCTCGGTGCCGTGCTGAAGTACAGCGGCTCCTCCACCACGCTGGAGAGGATCCAGAGCTTCAGGCAGCTGAAGGAGGCCATCACCGTGCAACTCCTGGCCACTGCCGGCGACGCCAACCCGCCTAAGGTCAAATACACCTTTTTCATCCCGAGAGATGTGACCTTCAATAAATCCAAGGAGAGGAAGGGCTCGTCGCTGTCGTTGCATATGATTCAGCCCTTCGGCGTGCCTGACTGGGTGCTGGGGGAGTGGTCTGAGTGCTCCAAGAGCTGCGGCTCTGGGTGGTCCAGGAGGAACGTTGAATGCCGAGACAGTGCAGGCATCCTCTCCAGCCAGTGCGACAAAGACCTGAAACCTGTGGACATCAGGGCTTGTGGGGACGCGCCGTGTCCCATGTGGCAGTTGGGACCTTGGTCCGCCTGCTCACGAACTTGTGGCCAGGGCGAGCGCCGCCGCAGCGTCCTCTGCATAGACTACACTGGGAAGACTGCTGAGCCAGAGAAGTGCGACCCGAACAAAATCCCAGAGCCGGTCTACGGAGAATGTCTCAACCAGGAGTGCTTATGAAGAACATGAGTACAGTGAACTCTCCCGCTTTGGTCTGACTGCACTTACCAACCATGGACGGATTACTGAGCAGTCATACTGGGCACAGGCACCGGGGCCCCGGGGGTCAGGGGACATAATGACTACAGAGAGACACGAAATGACCACAAACAGATATAAAACAACCACAAAGAGACACAAACTATCTGCAGAGTTGCAAAACAACCACAAAGAGACACAGGATGACTACAAACAGATATTAAATGACAACAAAGATACAAAACAACCACAAAGAAGCAAAATGACAAACAACATCTCTGAGTCGTTCTTTTGTGTCTCTGAGATTCTGACAGTTCTGGTCCTATGTCGGGGGGTGGGGGGGGGCTTTACAGGTCTGTGCCCAGTGGCCCACTGTCTCATAATCCGTCCATGTTACCAACTGGTCACATCGAGTCACATCAAGGGCATTTGCCTGAATTTTTGCTTTGTCATCTTTTGTTGACATTTGACAACCACTATTGAAATTTGAAACAATGGAAATCTACCTCATGTGATGTTTGTATAGATGCTAGATGAAGGTGCTGTGTGTGTGTTTTCTCCAGAATGAGAAGTTTTTCTAGTTCCGCTTTCAACACAAACGCCCTGTTCGGATAACGTTTGGTAACACCTGCAGTTTGTCTTGGTGAGTTAGCTGTCTGTTTAAAGTGGGGCTAGAACAACGGCACGAAACCTGCTGTCAAACACCAGCACAGTGTAAATATACCTCCATTCAATCCCCTATAAAGCTTTGATCAAGCCATTTACCTGTTATTGAGGTAGGTCCATATGATTGAGGCGCTGGGATTCAAGCCTTGTGGAAATGTGCTTCTGTTTTGATTCCTTATCTTTTATGCACACATACCAAGATGTGACTGTGATGAAGATGTCATGTTTTTATCCTGAAACTTAGCATTGTTGAAATATGCAACAAAAAAAAAAAAAAACATCCACTGACGCTAAAACCTGACAATATTTTGGACTTTAAAATCTGCCATCTGAAGCCTAAATCAAAATAAACTGTTTGAATTGGTGAACTGCACGTGTAGAATTTATAGAAATGAACAGAATTTGAGTTTTACATGATGTGTAAAGATTTTAGTTTAGATACCGACTGGTCATTCCTGACCAGAACAACCCACGACAGAGACTTTCCTTCTGCCCTGTAGTTGAACTTTAGCCTTTTCCCAGGTGCATTATGATGCAGTGGAGACGAATAGCGGTACAAACAATTTGCAATGCAACAAATGTTTCTTTGGAGGTGTTATTACTAAGTTAAATTATTAGCTTACTATCTATCGTGTATAAGAAAAAATAACATTGATTTTATTCATTTTCAGACTTTTATTTGTTAAACCCTCACAGTTGTTTTCAGACTCTGGTATGTATATTTGATTTCTTCATTCCTGTTGTTAATTTACAGTATGTTATAAAACAAAAGAGATGAAGTATTAGGCCTATATCCCTTCAGTGAAGGACCATACTATTTTATTATTACAGCTTCCTTTTTAAGCTATTTATTTTTGTAAAGTTTTTACCTTGGACATGTAATTAAAATGGCAAATGCTGCTGTCTTTGAGATTTTTGTCATAAAAATGGTCAAATAAACACATTTATGTCAGTATGTTGTTCTCCTTTACTGATCCTTATCCTCAGTGACAAACAAGAGGCAACAGTTCCTCAAACGTCTGCATCCAAAACTGTAAAAACCAGATTGTTGTTTCCAGAACGGCGAGTACACATACTTGAAAATGTCCCATAAATTCCAAACAAACATTGAAGTTTTCCATGTTTTCCACAGCGCTCGTTTAGACCGTTACGGGACACTAAACCCGACCGCCGAAGACCAGACTAATGGAATTCTTTTACGTAGGTGGGTCGACTGCTTTTAACAGCTGGGCGCGGCAGATTTCACTGCACGTTTTACTAACTCAAACCCCTTAAGATGCTCAGTAAAATCCTCCCACATTGGAATAGTTTCTCTGCTCAGACATCTGAAATAAAGGGAGAAAATACTCAGTAGCTGTGGTTAGGGAGGAACCTCCGTTTAACAGGCAACAGCTGTAACTTAACAATGTCCTATTTTTGATGTCAGTCGTGTTCTATTCGCAGCTGTCTGAGCTCGGCGGACGTGAAAATCATGATGGGTTACAAATACCGGAGTGGCCGTAATATCATTCACAGAATTTGGTTTGGTTTGGATCATTGACAACGTACCAATGTATTTATAAAATACAACATATCAGACTTTAAATCTCTTTCCATCCTGGTGTTCTCACAGTTCAACAAGCTTCATGGAAATGGAAAAAATGAGTTTGATGTCTGACATTAAGAAATATTAGAAAATAGAAACAGCTATTAAATCTTTCCATCATTGCCACTCCCACCTGCCCTGCAGTGACCCCACCCCTTCCTGTCTTTCCAGTCGCCTGACTCCACCACACCCACCCGCTGACCTTTTCCCCTTTCCCTCATCAGCTCCCTGGTGAACACCGATCAGACACAACAGTGAATAACGCTGATTATCTTGTTACAGTGGCACCTGTCAATGGGGTGGGATGTATTAAGCCTCAATTAAACATGGACAGCTGCAGACACCGCGGACACATAGTTGTTCTTATTATACTACTCTCTAGTCCACTTGGAGGACGCTCGCACAGTCAGTGCCCTTGTAGTGTAGCGTACACGTACGTGCACACAGAGCCTTGTTTACACCCTCTAACGATGACATTTTTGTCACTCAAACCTTTGCGTACTTGCGGATGAAGAAAGTATAACACTATCCTTTTTATATGACTCTCTCGTCTGCTTGGAGGACACATTAACAGTCGGTGTCCTTGTAGTATAGCAGCCACATTGGAGGGTAAACAAATGTCCACACAGAGCCTTGTGTACACTCTCTGATGACGAACTTCACGTCACTCAGACCCTAACAGACTCTTGTGTGCTTGCGGATGCAGATAGTACAACACCAGCCTCCAGCAGCATGTCAGCAGTCAGTTCTTGAGCTTGACGTGTTGGAATCAGGAAAGACGACCGGGTTGGAACATCAAACTGCAGGTCTGCAGTGGTTAGTACCTACCAAAAGTGGTCCAAGGAGGGACGACTGTTAAACTGGCGTTAGGGTAATGGGCCCCCGAGGGGAGTGAAGGCTGGCCTGTCTGACCCGATCCCACAGAGCTGCTGCAGCACAAATTGCTGAAAACCTAAATGTTGGCTATGACAGAAAGCTGTCAGAACACATGGATGTGTATGGTGCTACGTGGTCACAGACCGTTCAGAGAGCTCATGCTGACCCCTGTCCACCACTGAAAGGGCCGTCAGTGGGCACGAGAGCGTCAGAACTGGACCATGGAGCAGTGGAGGAAGGTGTCCTGGTCTGATGAATCACGTTTTCTGTTACATCATGTGGACGGCCGGGTGCATGTGCGTCATTTACCTCAAAAACAGATGGCACCAGGATGTTCTGCTGGTCTAACAAAAGAAAGCCTGCAATAATAAACAAACTGGCTACCCTGACATCACGGTAATGTCACTGATGTCACGAAGAAAACAAATCCATGTTTTTTGATGTAGGTAGCCTATCAGCGATAACTCCAGATGTTTGCGCCTGAAATGACAGCTGTCAAATTCAATGGGCTCCATTAAAGCACTGAAGGGAGCGACCTGCTGAGTCATAATACATATATAGGCCTATAATGTGCTCTGAATGTTGTGTAATGGTATACGTGAAAAGCTCATATTAAAAACAGATACTAACTGACAGATGATGGCGACATGACATAGAACAGAAGTTGAATAAAGTTAAAGTAATAATAATTATTCTAAAATTATTATTATTTTCTTTAAATATTCTATGGCGAAAAATCTGACCCTACAGGGGCGGTAGCAAACGTCTTGCCTAGAGCACTGGTTCTCGAACTTTTGAGGACCCCTAAAACTGACACAAATGAGACTACAGACCCCAGTTTGATAAGATTTTTGCTTTTAGATGTTTTATCACAGAAAGTATTTGAAACCCATGAAACAAAATACTCATGCATTCTGTCATTATGTTACTTAGGGACAGAATTAAAGTGAAAATAATAAATTTTCCTTTTTGCTGGGGATCCCTAGGAACCCCCTCAAGGATCCCTGGGGGTTCCCAGACCTAGGGGACCAAACAACAAGTCTCATGGCCTTTTATTCGGGTGTCAAAGAGTTGAGTAAGATGAAAAAAATGTATATTAAATTCAAAATCCATTAAAAAATAGAAGTAAATGGTAATATGAGGGAAAAATGTATGGACAGCACATATAACAGATCTGCAGTTCTGATAGATTAACATGTCTATAGAAAGTCATATTGGTGCATGTGAATTAATATAAACTGTGGGAATTCCTGGGCAGCATGTGAGTTGTGTTGTACATGTCGCTAAATGTGACACTTCCTGTTTCTTACAGTACAGTACAGTGGAGGGGTGCGCGTTGCATTGTGGGGATACAAATACAGCGCAGAAAGAACAGCGGGGAGCACAAAGGAATTAAAACACAGCACCTCGAAAACTTTAAATGCCCGCGCGGTGTGATGTGAATTCGTGCGAGCGTTGTTTAAACTGTGAGGTTTGGCGGATGGCAGGCGGACAACTGCCCGAGAAACACAAGGAATGTGAGTGAGCGGAGGGGAGCAGCAGGGCGAACCGCTGTCTCCGACTATCGCTGCTTTTTGTCAGCTGAGCTGTTCGCATCCCGAGGCCCAGCCGTTACCTCAGGCCTCAACTCAGAAGGTAAATTCCCTTCATACAGTCTGTCTGATTACGGTAACCCCACGTTGTACGCTCGTATCGGGCTGCTTTGTCGTCTAAGCATCGATAAGAGCAAACGGAGCGACTATTAGCGCCGTGTTGCGTTGGCTAGCGCTAGCTTGATAGCTAACGGCGGTTAGCTAATGTACAGCAGCTGCGTCGATGTGTGCAGGGTTATCCACGGTCAAACCCGGAATGTGGCTGAATCGGCTTCAAAATAAATGGGGTAAAAAAGACTTATTTCTGCCACTTGGTCATAAAACTTTTCTTTTGAATTGTGTATTGTTATGTTGCATTTATGTACAAATGAACCGGAATGGAAAAATACTGAACTCAATACAGGACAAGAATAGAGCTGTTTTTAAGATAACGTACGGGTCAAATCAGGTGATGAGAATAAATAATGGGTTTTATTTTCTTATTTTAATTTATACTACACAAATTGTAACTACACCTTAATATGTGTAGGCAATAAAAGTATCTGATTAAAAAAAGAAAATTATTTAAATGAAATATTGAGATAAAAGATGTTGCACGATTCATCTGTCTTTTATTTTGACAGTTGAAATCGGATGTGCTATTCATCTCCTGGCTGACTTGACCTATTAACTTGACACTGTTAGCTAGTGCTAAACTGTGATTGTAGGAAACATATTTGTTCAGCAGATACTTCCCCCCTCTTCCTTACATACACACACGCTTTCTTGTTTTTGACTGTCAGCTCTCTGCAGTCTCTTCCTGCCAAGTGTCTGTGGTCACTTTCTCATATGTGATGTAAACAGAGTGAAAGTAACACAGGCCTGCACCACGGAGCGAGATAAGTGGGTTATCCAGATGTGTTTGGGCTTAACTCGGGCTTCAACGGAGGAGATCACCATGGTGACCTGTGATGGAGCAGGTTAACTTCAGTCAATCAGATTAACACCTGTCAATAGCCCGACTGTTGACCAATCAGATCACTGGAAAACCTGATTTAACATTCCTACAGGATCCTGACAAAGATGTTTACAAAAAAGTATTAAACAATAAAGACTTCTAACAAGCAAAATACAAAATGACAATTAAAGCTGCATTTTAATTGCACAAAGATTCTTCCACTCCACTCCTAAAGATGATTTAACGTTCATATTCTACAACTGAAGCTCTTAATAACACAACGTTGTGATAATAACTGTAAATAAAAACTTTGCCTTCTTGTATTTTTTTTATTAGAAAAATATTCCACACACTTGAATATTGCGATTTATGTGCATCACATATTCATAAAAGTTTGTTTATTACCAGACAAAAAATACTCACACTATACTAAATATTTATTATATAAGAATTCACTTAACTAAATGAAATAGCCTTAACCTTACTTTAATAATTTGAAATTATTTCTAGTGTTGCATGAACGCACTTGTAACTAGATAGGTAAACCTAACAACCTAGGTTAACTGAGCCAGTTGATAACTAGCTTCATGATACTGGTGATCCAGGCTTAGTGAAGCCAGGTGACCCAAAGAGAGCCAGACCAATCTGAACTCGCTTTGTGGTACAGGCCCAGAGGACGCGTATCCTCCAACCTGACCCTGCTGTGATGTAAATAGTTACCGTCTTTGCCGATCCGCTGCAGGTCAGCTGACAATCTTAAAGCGACTCTAGAGATCAAATCTACAAGAGTGACAGATTGAAAAAAGACTGCTCATGAAGCTGTGGGATTCTATTTTATTCAGTCTGTCCCTGCCCGGTAGATAGCGCTAAGCTAGCCAGCTGTGTGCAGATGTCTGGCTGATGTCTCTTCAATACAAACAGTGGAGATGAATTAGTGAGCAGACTTTCAGTTCCTGACCTGTCTGTTCTCAAAGCGACCATTAAAGTGAATGTGGTGTACTTGGTTTAAGCATCTGCTGACAGTCCACGCGCAGCTGTAGCGTTTATTTTTGAAAATGTGCATAACGATGACGCCCTTGTAAGTGGTGCAGGTCTTTTTTTATATTCTTGCTCAGCTGTTTTTCACTGAGCTAGTCTAAACGTATCATGTTTTAGTTGTTTTGCATTTGCCAAGGAAAATAAATTCTTGTTCCACAGTTTTATAACCGGGAAATTTGTGCACTTTACACAGTTTTATATTCAAGGAAGCAACAGTGTAGTTCACCTGTTGAACAATGGGAAGATCAGTGAAGATATCCAGCCCTGAAAACTAGAATACACTGTAGAAACACAAATTATTTCCAAATATCAACGTAAAACAAGGACATATTATAAAGGAAAACTGTCGGGAATGAAAGAATCTTTGTGCAGTGAAAATTCAGCGGTAATCGTCTTTATGAATTCATTTAGTGAGATAAACTAAAACCAGAGTGAATTTATTTATATAAAGTAACTATTGCCTTTTATTAATATTATTTGTAAACTCTTTTGTCCCTGTTGGGATACCATAGGAATTATTACTCCCGTTTGTCTGGTGATCTGATCGGTCATTAATTGGGCTGTTGGCAGGTTCTGATTCTCTGAAGTTCCCTACAGCAGCGTAGGTTACCATGGCGATCTGCCTTGGTTAAAAGTGAGCCAGCTACGTGATACCGGAAAACCAGAGATAAGCCCAAAGACAGCTGGATAACCCACTAAATCCTGCTCCGTGGTTCAGGCTCCTGCTTTATCACCATCATAAATATTTTTGTGGCAAATTTTTTATTTTTTTTAGCGTTGCTGATTTTTAGTTACATAACTGTTGATCAATCAGTTGATCTATGAGTGTATAAAATGTCCCTGTTGTGTCTTCAAATGGCTTATCTTGTCTGACAAAGCAAAATGCTCAGTGCACAATGAAGTGAAAGTGAAAGAGTCAGCAAATCCTCACATTAGTGAAGCTTCAGCCAAGAAAAGGTTTTATATTTATTGATGAAAATATCATGAAATAGTCACTGTCAGGATTTTCTGTCCATTGAATCTATTGTTGAAGCTTTGCAGTGAGGCAGGTAGGAGATAAATGTAATCATACATGTGTATTTGATGCACTGCATGACCTTTAAGATGTAAAATGGTCTTTAATTTGACCAAGGACTTATCAACAAGTGATAAGACATTAATTTAGATCATAAGATAAAGTAAAATGTTTTTGGTTTTACTTTTTTCTTCACTGAAGAATTGTCGAATCTTCTCTTAAAGATGTAATTTGTATCAGAGGTCAAAGTTTTATTGAAATCATTGTGACATTTGATTTTTAAACATCACCTCTTTGTCAAGTTCATCTACTCTTACATCAGGAAGAAGTTGATAGAGATAATGTAGACGAATAATTCTCCTTCAGTGTATGAAAACTCCTTGGTGGACTCTTTTCTATTAGCGCTGTTTGCTGGTTCAGACTAGGAACTCTCTTGTTGCACCACCGAAGCCCAGGTCTATAATTCACTTTGCCTTCACTGGGCCAACATAGCCCAAGAGTATTTTCCTTTGGTGTGTGTGTGTCTGTGTGTGTGTGTATGTGTGTGTGTGTGTGTGTGTGAGAGAGAGAAGGGGAGCGCGCTCTCCCTGCGAGAGCCCCTTCACTTGAGCTTTTGTTTGATGGAAAATCTCATGCCTCAAAGAATCCACATGTCTCACAGACAGCTGCTGAGCATCCTGTAGTGCACTGGCCTCCACATGGGTCTGGCTCGCATCGCTGCGCATCTGCTTTGATTGTTGTTACATAACTTGGCATTTTGTCCCCCATGCCCCCACCTTTCCTTCCCCTCAGAGCTCAGAGAGCACCGTAGTATTTCTCCCTTACCTACACCCACTGCCTTCCACAGTGAATCTGACTCTTTTCACACTTTATTTACTGTGGAGCTGGCGTTTTGTGTCGTGTGACATCTGAGTTTTGTCTCTGAACTTGGTGATTTTTGATGAAGTGTTAGTTAGGTAATCATTGGACACATAGGTATTGTTATATACACTAATGATGACACTTTTCCCACCAGAAATAGATCTTTGACTCCTGAAATACTTTTACAAACTGAAGATGTTTTTTTTCACCTCTCCCTGCAGGACGCATTTCCTGTACAGAGTCAGGACCTGACTCCAACATGGGGGTCAAGACCTTCACCCACAGCTCGACCTCCCACAGCCAGGAGATGCTGGAGAAGCTCAACGCTTTACGCAACGAGGGTCACTTGTGTGATGTCACCATCCGCGTCCAAGACAAGCTCTTCCTGGCTCACAAAGTGGTGCTCGCCTGCTGCAGTGAATTCTTCCGCTCCAAACTGGTGGGCCGGCCGGAGGAGGAGGACAAGTTTGTGTTGGACCTCCATCATGTGACTGTTAGCGGCTTCGCACCTCTGTTGGAGTACGCCTACACGTCGACCCTCTCCATCAGCACGGAGAACATCATCGACGTCCTGGCGGCTGCAAGCTACATGCAGATGTTTGCTGTGGCGAGCACGTGTTCTGAGTTCATGAAGTCAAGTATTCTGTGGAGCCCGGGCAACAACAACAACAACAACAACATGACGGCAGACAAACCGCACGAAACAGCACAAGAGAGCGCCTCGTCTAACTGCGCCCTGACGCCTCTGGACGGCAGCGTGTCGCCGGTGTCGTCGGACTGCAGTGTGATGGAGAGAAACGTTCCTATCTGCCGCGAGTCCCGACGGAAACGCAAGAGCTTTGTAACAATGGCGTCACCTGAGAGTCCGCTCAAATGCACTACACAGATCGTCACCACCTCCCCTCAGATCCCCAACCCCTCCCCTTCATTCTCAGACAGCACAGCCCAGCCCGTGGAGTCCTCCCTGGCCTTCCCGTGGACGTTCCCGTTCGGCATCGACCGGAGGTTCCACTCGGACAAATCGAAGCTCCCGGAGAGCCCTCGCTGTTTAGAGCAGGGCGCTCCGGCGACCTCGGAGGTGGTGGTGGGCCGGCGGCTCAGCGACTTCCTGACGTGCGAGAGCTCCAAGGCAGTGTCGTCGCCCGTGCCGGCAGAAGAAGAAGACGTGAGGGTGAAGGTGGAGCGTCTCAGTGATGAGGAGGTTCAGGAGGCGTCCTCTCAACCGGTCAGTGCCTCCCAGAGCTCGATGAGTGACCAGCAGACGGTGCCGGGGAGTGAGCAGGTCCAGGAGGAGCTCCTCATCAGTCCACAGTCCTCTTCTATAGGTGGGGTGCTAAGAATTACTTCTTCATGGGTGTATTAAAGACACATCACTGTTACTATATCTACCACTGTTATAGTAGAGGCTGCATCCTGACCCAGTTAACACAGTGTCGCTTTGTAAGACACACGATCAACCTGCTTCACCCACCAGCAGGATTTTTATTTGTATTGGTGTCAGCAAAAAAAAAAAAAAAAAGGAAACTGGTCAGCAGCATCAACCCTTAAATAACGGATGAGTCTTCAAACACCTGCAGTATACTTTTTAACTCTGCTGTCAGACATTCAGTAGACAGCTAACATATGATTTCCTGTTTCTTCGTCCTCTCAGGGTCGATGGATGAGGGAGTGTCTGAGGGCTTGCCGTCAATGCAGAGCACCTCTAACGCTGGAGGACATGCAGAAGATGACGAAAGGTATCACGATTTGTTACAACTTGCAGCGAGGCGAGTCACAGGCAGCGAGAGAATATATAGACCTAGAGATCATTAGTGGGTGTCTGGGCCACACCTGGATTGGTAATAAATTTAGACGTCTTGTTGAAGACATGATGCACATTAATATGTGAGAGCATCTCACAGCTCGTGTCGTTAAATGACCAGAACCACGACAACAAGATATTTTTTGAGAAGAGACAAAGAAAGTATTCGATTTGATTCTCTGTGTCGTTGTGTTTCAGGCTGGAGGGTATTCAGTACCCGTACCACCTCTACATCAGCCCTTCAGCCCGACCCGGCACCAACGGCCCTGACCGGCCCTTTCAGTGTCCCACCTGCGGAGTCCGATTCACACGCATTCAAAATCTGAAGCAGCACATGCTCATACACTCCGGTAGGTGAAACGGGGGAAAAGAAACTTTGAAAAGATTCATTCCCAGTCGATGTTTTTGACACTGATCAACAGAAACAGTGTTGAACAGATACTGTTGGTTGTCTGGTGAGCTCACTTCTCTGGAAACTCCACACCCTAAGATTTTATTTTTTTTGCAATCGACTCTTTATAATCACTCGGGGCAGTTTATCAGATTTGTTGCAGCTTTCACAGAAAGCTTTATAAAACTTTTTCACATTTAGCACTGTCCAACACCTGTAAACACACTTTTATGTTTAAAATCAGTGGCGTCTCACCTAAAGGTGCATCACAGTAAAAAATAGTAAAAGGTTTTTGCTTTTATGTTTTTATTAGTGTAAAAAATCCAAATAACATCGACTGTGAGCCAGTAAAAAAAAAAGGGGGGCAGTCAAAAGGGTGTAAGCATTTATAGTCCGTGTATCTCACATATTAGGACATTGCGAGGAAAGTTTTGAAACGCTGCCTGTTGTAAGATGTTTTGGATGTTCTGTCCTCGCTTATTTTTAGATCATGTAGAAATTACCACGTTGGCACTCTTTACCCACATGACAAAACTGTTGGATTTAATCTTGCATCTTGAATGTTTAGTTACATCAGATGTTATTAAGTGAGATTGTAAAAAAAAAAGTAGAATTTGCAGCCTGAAATAGAAAAAGTACAAAATCAAAAGCTGCTCAGGTCAGAAAAGTTTAGCTGTTGTAGGTCTGTTTGTGGGCCGTTGTGTTTGTCGTTGGTGTGTTGTTATTCCTGTGGAGAAAGATAAACATGTCAGTGTTTTTACGACCTGTGAAAAGTGCAGTTACAAGAGCTCTAAAACCTCTACGTCTAAAGGCCAAAAACAAAAAATATTTCGGCCTGTAGTTGACAACAAAATAACAAGTTGTCCATTGTTGATTTATCTTCGAATAGTATCAACTGACCTGCAAAGGAAGATACTTGAAATGTTAATAACACCGTGGATAAATCATGTTTAATCAGCTGGAATTATATTTCACATACGAAACAACCCAAATGAAGAATTTGGTGACTTTTGTCTCAGTGGAAAGAACCAGTCAGTTCTACATGTAAGGAAAGCTGCTTTCCTTTGATCACCTCTGACACGTCTTCAGACTTTAGCTGGAGTCTGTCTGTGGAAGTTTTAAATCATTTTCTACGACTTAGTGAGAGTCAGACCTGTTTATAAAAGGCCAGACAGTTTGAAGTGCACATCAGAAAAACATGAGCCATGAAATCTGCTGAACTCTGCGCAAACCTGTCAAGGTAGAGCTGGAGCGCAGGTCTGTGAGTGGAGAATACAGTCACTGTGCTGTGCAGTGGAGAAACCGGCTCCTAAGACCAGACAATAAAGGTCTGTGGATATCTGGATAGATGAGTGACTATCAGCTGCAACACAATAAACTGTGGGAAAAGTGTAAATATGTTTGAATGGATGTTTTAAAGTGGATGTTTCCTTTTTTAAAAGGCAGTGAAATTAATTCTGTACCGTTCAACTCATTCATAATAAAAGCAGCTTGTTTTACAGACGAGCGTTGAATCATTTTGACGTCTCTCCTCCGCTCGGCTCAGAGGACGTTCTTTTAGGGGAAGACCAGATTTAAATGTATAAACAAAGTGAAGCATGAGTCAGTCTGAAGCGCTCAGCATGACTGCGATTAGCTGATGCAACACCAGGGAAAGCCTCAGAAATATGTAAACCTGTATTTTGTCCTGAAATGAGGCTGGAATGTGTCTCACTGAATCTGTTTTGGCAGAGAGTTTGTGGGACTTAATATTTCTTATCAAATTAACGTTTTAAAAGAACATTTAAGGGGCTGAATTACTTATTTGTCATTTAGCTAAATTACCACCTAATTGTTTTGTTCCTTTTCTGTAGAAGTGGAAAATTAAATTTGAGATAAAAGAGATTCATTAAACTTTTAATGCTGGATTTAAACATGAACTGGAATTCACATAGAGAGTTGTTATTATCAGTGGATCTGCTAACAGTAGCACATCAGCCAACAGAGGTCTAAATAAAAGGTGAAATGACACTGGGCATCTTTACTTTCCAACACCTTGTATATAACTTAGTGATGAATGGATGAAACTTTTTGTTCCGGGGATTCTGGGAAACGCTGATTAGGAAAACAGTTGAGGCTCCCTCCCCACCTCACCTCATGCACACTTGGATTCTAACACTTGAGTGATGCTAATGTACAGATGGGCTAAGCTTTGGTTTTCTCCTCCTCCCTCAGGCATTAAGCCTTTCCAGTGTGACCGCTGTGGGAAAAAGTTCACACGGGCCTACTCCCTAAAGATGCATCGGCTGAAGCACGAAGGTAAACGCTGTTTCCGGTGCCAGATTTGTAGCGCCACATTCACGTCCTTCGGTGAATATAAGCACCACATGAGGGTCTCCCGACACATAATCCGCAAGCCGCGGATTTACGAGTGCAAAACGTGCGGCGCCATGTTCACCAACTCTGGCAATTTAATTGTACACCTGAGGAGTCTGAACCATGAGGCATCCGAACTAGCAAACTACTTCCAGAGCAGGTGAGAAGTCCGGGGGCGCTGACCCCCATCATTTACTCAGATCTCACCTGGATCAGAAAATAAACTACGGTTTAGATTCTCATACCTGAGGTTCATTTGATCGTTTTTTCCTTGTGTAGGTTTGTTTTTGAGATGACTGCAGGTGATTTGAATGCTCAGATCAAGTGTACCTGAAGTATTTGGCTGTATTTACAGGGGAGTTTGAATTTCACTCATTTAAAGGGATATTTACACATGAAATTTGGGAAACGTGCTCCTTCATTTTCTTCAGTGGAGTGAGAGGATTGATAACACCCTCATATCTGTGCAGTAAAAATGCAGCAGCAGCATTATAACAGCAAAAACAAACTGTCTACCTGCTTCTTTTAAAGCTCACTAATTGACATGTATCTCATTTGTTTAATCCGCACAAAAACTGAAGTGTAAAAATGCCAGTTCCTTGTTCTGCAGGGGGGTTGTGTGTCTGTTTTTCGCCTCTGTGAATTTGGCGTTTTTACACTTGAGTTTTTGGATGAAACAAACGTGATGTAACGTGTTAACTCCTGATCTTTAGAGGTGATAGTCGGTGGGTTTTGTTTCCTCTGAACAGACCCAGACGAGCTGTCCCCCCCCCCCGTTTCATATTTACCGTTCAGACATGAGTGGAATCAATCGTCTCTAACTGGCGCCAAGAAATGGAATAAACACATTTCCCCAAAAATGCTGAACTATTCCTTTTAACATTGATCACTGAGAGGAGATGGTAAATATCTGAAGCACGTTTTGGCTGTTTATGGACAAAACTCCATGAGATGTGAGGATGAAGTGGGAATTCAAATGCCAAAATTAAAGCACCGTACACAACTTCAGTGTTGTTTAAAACTTGTGTTCTCAAATGTTTTGGTCCCGTAAAAACACAACTCTGATCATTTAGTCATCTCTGTTTGTTTCTATATGAATGGATTTTCCTTCACCAAATAGAGAGGGCTGTTTGTTTTTATCAGAAGCCCGGCCCACAAAGCCTCGTGAAAGTCTGAACACAGTGTCTTTATGGAGTCGAAGTGTGTTTTTACTTCCCAGACTTTTCCACTTCTTAATCAAGTCAAGTCCTCACAGGTCAGCAGGACTCAAACGGGCCATTGACTCCTCAAAAGTTTTATAGTAGAAGGTCTACGTCTGAGATCATGACAGTATGGAAAATTCTCTGGCAACCCAGTCAGTCTCTTAACTCCCATCCTCAGTCTTCACATAAAAAGATATGTTAACTACACTGTATGTTTTTGTCTCAGCTGCTGGTTTCCAGATTCAGCTGTTGTCTGTGTCACAGAGTCACACTCCACCATAACTGTTTATTCTGGATTATGAGCTCTGTTCCCTCTGTTGGTCTCTACATGATAAATGTAGTTACAACCATGGTCACACACGTGCGCTCACACATTTTAAAGAGCCTCTGTTATAGGAGTCCAAGTGTAGTTCTCTGTAATGAAAACCCAGCCACGCTTAGATTATGTTAAGATAATATTTAAAAAGCAACGCTCTTGACAAGGACCAATTTCTATAAATCCACTTTCATGTCGTTAATTATTATTGACATGTCTTCTGGTTTACCTGCGTTCAACACATTGGACACATATAGAAGCAAATCAATGCCAAAATAATAATGATAGTAATAATAATAATAATAATAAACAACTGAACACCACACTTTTAAATTCTTCTGAATTAATGTCGTCTGAATTTGCCTTTCTGAAATCCTCAATAGTCAAAAAGTTGCTCCATTCAAGCTGGATTTGCTTTTCATTGGTTGCGATCTGAATTTTATATCTTGAATTTCTGAGATAGATCTGAGTTGAGCTTATTAAAATAAAGCAATTTGAATACAGCTTTTGAATATTAGGCATGTGAATCTAAATTTTTCGAACCCTAAATTATAAATAAATGAAAATAAAGTTTTTGAAATTGCACAACCTGAAATCGACTATTGAGGAAGATACACTCTAATATTTCAGTGGTATTTAAATGTGATTGAATTTCAAAATTCAGTCGGTGATTCAAATTATTATGGTAATGACTTACTTCCATTCATATCAAGAAACAATCCACTCCAACGCTCTTATAGACCAACCAAAAGGTTGTTTGTGATGCACCGTAGCTTTGTGAGATATTTCTGTTATTGTTCTCATTATACTGGTGTGAATTATACGTACAGAAAGTGGGAAAGTAAATGAACCTGTTAGATATCATCACAAAATAAGAAACTGCTTTTTTAATAAAATACATTAACTTGTGATCTCAAGAAAACAAACTTATTATGTCAATCATAGGAAAACATTAAAATATGGTGATTATTCATGTCCTCTTTGGGCCTCCGTAGACGTGCCATAAAGATGTTCAGTGCAGCTACAGTGGAGATTTAGAGCAGAAATAAAATCAGGAATGTAGATCCTTGGCAGTAGATTCATTGCAGATAAATTTTCTGGTGATTGACGAATTGATGAATCGATTTATGATTTCATCTTTAACGATAATCCAGAAATATATTTTATTTTCAGTAAAGCCTCCTTCTCTGTTACTTAGATTTATCATGATTAGGGAAAACGTTCTAAACGTCCAAACTCAGTTTCAGCTCAACACCAGAATCTGATAAATGCATTTTGTTATTTCCCAAAGTTAAAGATGGAAACTTTAAATGTCACTCTTTTATTGCCTGATGTGACGTCAGACTTTCATGTATCGTTTACCTCAGAAACTTGTGTTGAGGCACCAAATAACAGGACAGTGAACTCAACATCTTCTCTTCATCCTTGCAGTGATTTCCTCGTGCCCGACTACCTGAGCCAGGTACAGGAGGAGGAGGAGGTGCTGGGAGTCCAGTATGAGCTGGAGGAGTCCCAGCATCACCCCGTCTACCCGGTCAGCACCTCCACCTCCACCACCACTGCCGCCTCGTCCTCCTCCTCAGTCCAGATGCCCGTCATCTCCCAGGTCTCCTCCTCTACCCAGAATTGCGAGAGTTCCTCCGGCTTCCTTTCACCTGAGCCCCTGGATCCCCTGGAAGCCCCAGCCTCCCTCAAGATGGACGCTGACGAGACGGCAGCCATGACAGAGGAGACCAAGATGGACAACAGTGTGGGGGGCAGTTCCCCAGAGGTGTTTGAAGAAGAGCAGCAGCAGCAGCAGCAGCAGCATGCCCAGGCACAGGAGCTGGTTTCCATTACCATAGAATGATTCAAGTCTTCTACTTGCCCATCATGTCTTATTTTGCAGCCATGTCATATGGGAACATCTGTTGGGACGCCATGACGGCTTAAAGGGACGACTCGGACACGGTGAAGCTTCGTCGTGTGAAGCCATCAAGACGCCATGATCGAAGTTACCTGAAGACTTCAGTTGCCTTAGTGTTGCTTTCCACTTGCAACTCAGATGCACTTATTTGATTTCATGTTTTACACCAAACCAAATTCAGCAAAGTAAATGATCATTTTCTTTGTTTATATTATAATTTCTTGAACTTGACTGAAGCAATTTCCTTGTCGGCGACATGAGATTTCACTAGATCATAAAATCTGGGTTCAGTTCATCCCCAGACCTGAATTTCAAAATAGTATTTATCACCCGGGAAAGCAAGTGAACAGTATTTTTTAAGAGTAGTTTTACAGAAGGTTGTTTTTTTGTTTTTTTTTCCCATATGACGTGAATGCAGCGCTAGCTAAAGTCATTTCTGTCTTAGCCAATTTGAGGTCTGTTAAATCCAAGCCTTGTCCTATTTTTGGAAAGTGCCTGAGTTCCCATTTTAACAAGGTAACCTGTAGAGGAAGAAGAGGTCTTGACTTTGCCAACGGTGACAAATCAAGTCTTTGCAAACTGAGCTAAAGAAAAAAAAAAACTTGTATTTCATTTGTAGTGATAATGCTAGTTTGTATGGGCAGAGACTGTGTTATTCCTTCAGTGCCGTCGCTATAGGCAAACTGTTAAATGTCTATATTATCTATATTGCAATAGCTTGTACTGTAGTTTTACTATTTGAATGCTGTGTAAGTTGGGTGTTGTGAAATATGACATGTCAGGTGTGTGCGTGCATTTCTTTTTATCAATATGAACACAGTACATTTCATTTTTAAATGTTTAAAACTTGAAATTATATTGACAGAGTATTCCCTTTAGATGTTTGTGCAGTTTATGATTTTTCTGACCTACGACAAATATTTTCTTTCCTTTTTTTTTTTTCATGTTCGATGAACACTGTTGTTACATCAAAGCTAAACTCGAGGAGTTTAGAAAAACTCAGATCAGCACTGATGCATCTTTTTAAAAACAAAAAAATCCAAACAAATAATGACAAATGTTGTTTAAAAAAAAAAAAAAGAAAAATAAGAATTTAAAATTTGAAGTTACAAGGTTTCCTCACAGCTGCAGTGTTGTAGTCCCAAATGGGCTCTAAGATATGAGATATGGTAATGTAGCATTTCATCCTAGCTGAAGTTAGGCCTGCTTAATGTCAAACAGCATTTTAAACCCAGTTTGTTATTGATATCTGATTATGGCTTTCAACCTCTGGTCGTCCTGATTTACCAAGGTACACTGCTGATGTTCTAAGGTGTTGCATGACTGTTACAGTGATGTTTCATTTCGGTACACCATGATTGTCTTTTTCAACGTTTCATCCTCGTGAGACTTTGTGGGTGAAACGCCAAGAATATTACGTTGACCCCCAAAGTGTGGACTGACCACCAGCACCCTCTCTGTTGTTTTTTTTTTTTTACTGAAGTTGTCACAAATTTTAAAGCTACTTTGTGAAAATTTCCCTGACTAAAATTTTGAAATTTACTGTACGCCTGCATCCAGGGAAGCAGGAAGTGATACACACAGATGATGGTGGCTGTCTGTGATGGCCTGTGTTCAGTCAGAACAGATTTTAAGGACGTTGGGTGTTTATGTGATAATATTGCTTTGGAAGCAATGGGAGCGTGTTCGTGTGAATGCAAATACTGTGAGTGGAATCATTATAAATGATGACTTAAACATGTTGTGTCAGGCAAGAGCCGATAACACAGTTTGGCAGTTTGTTACTAATTTCATCGACGTTTTATTTTATGCTGATTTTGGGTCAAACCTCCGGCTCCTGTTTCCTGTGTCGTGCCAACATGGTTGTAATTTTGTACTTAGACATTGTTGTGCCTGTATTTTTGAGGAGATAATGACGCCCATGGTGACGATCCATGAGTTGAATGCTACTGACTGTGAGTGGGTTTCTCGTTCAGTGAAATCTTTTTATTTTCTGTTGCCCCCCCCCCTCAGAATCGTACTTATGGCCCACGTTTGGGATTATCACAGCAGGATGTAAGCCCTCACACGCAGGGTTGATTGTAAATGCAAAGATGAATATTGCTGTGATAAGGGCATCAATATTACAGTGTCCTGACCATTGAAATCCACTGAGAGCTGTCTTAATAAGAGCCCCCCCCCCGTGCCATCCTATCAGACACTTTTTAGAAGTTGTGCCATTTGCCCTTTTTGTCTGGGTACAAATCAAGCTTTTTTCCTCCAGGACCAAATGTCCTCTATGTCATTGGGGATTTGCCATGGCAATCAGTAACTGCACATAATAAAATAGAGATAATCATTTTGAGTGGTCCATGCTATTTAGCAAAGGGGGTCCCGCTGTCTCGCCCCTGAAAACACTGTATGATGTTGTGCATTTAAGAGGCTAGCCTTAGTAAATGGACCTATTAACTCTAGTTGCACAATATCGAAATTCAAAAAAAAAAAAAAAAAGTTTTCTATTCTCCATTTGTACGTCATGCTTTTTTCATCTGTTGTGTTCGGTGTCTGTATTCAAACAACGTTTTTATAATGAAATGCTGCTGTTTGTTGAAACGCAAAGTGCCCAAAATATTTTTGTGAACCAATGGTGTGCAATAAATGGACAGGTGGTGTTTTAAAAGTTTTAATTTTGTCTTTGGAATGATGAATTATATATATATACATACATACATATATATATATATAAAAAGAATGTACCATTTTGTTTTATTCAAATGTGACTGAAGGTAGGCAAGGACCCCATTTGATCTGTGAAACAAGGAACAAGGCTTTGATATCAAGTGACTGGTTCTGTTCAGTTCCTTTCTGTTTGTTTCTGAAGTTGCATGTTCATATCGTTGTGTGAAGTGGAGAGCATGTCTCCAGGTGGCGATGCGTTCTGTCAAGGCCTTATTTGTTGACGACTCTTCATCCAGCATAGCTTCGATCTGTTGTTCAGCATGCCCTTCTTCTTTTCTGTACGTTTTTCCCTTTTTATGTGCAATGTTTTAAAAATATCTCGATTATATACAGGACATGCCTTTTCAATGTACACTTGATGTTGTATACGTTTTCCAGTCCTTATGGTTTTATTTAAAAGTAGGAAAATATAAGAAAAAAAAAAACATGGTAGCTCTTCATAATGGCATATATATTTTTGGTGACTTTTGTATGGGTGCTGTTTCATGGCATCTTTGGATATTCTTGTTAAATGTGAATAGAACAGCATAGTCTGGGAGTATGGGGGGCCTTGGTAGTCTTCACTTTGTGACTGTCTGCAGTGTGTGTATATGTATATATATATATATAAATATACAGTATATACACTCATACTATGTTGCGTATTCTTTATACTGTAGGCTACTTGATTACAACCTGCTTTGAGACAGATGTTGTATTTTGTGTCTTTGATACTGTATTTAAACTGTAGTTCGGAGAAACTGTACAAAAACATCCCAGATAGTAACACAACCTGCACAGTGATAAGGGAGAACTGATGTTTGTGGTGTTGAGTGTTTTAACTGGATCATATTCCACAGTTGGCTTTTAAAAACTGACAAGACCACTCTGTATTTTAGGGTTTATGGTTGTTCTGAATCTTTACTAGTGCTCTGGCTTTGCAGTCCTGTTGTTATTAAAAGAGTCGTTTTTTGTAAAAGTATAAAATGTAAATAAAAAAACTAAAAGTCAGAATAAGTCTAAAACTTGTCTGAAGTTGTTTTTTGTCACTGTAATATCTTTAAGTTTACTTAAAATTAATTTCAGCACATTTTTTCCTTGTAATACACAACTTTACTAATATGTTCTACAACATCACAGAGCAAAGGTTATTTATAACATCATTAACAAAGAGAATTTATAATTAGATTGTAATTACATACTCATAGATTCTCAGTAAACTAGTACAAACCAGTTGACACACAGTCGACCATCTCTTCCCGTTTTACATAGTTGGAAATATATTATTTCAGAAAATGTGGGACTAAAACAACCTATATGGTTCAAAATATTTTTTTTGTCTTCGCCTAATAAAATTCATAATTGATAACAAATAATTGGAAGATACTTTATGCAAGAACAATGAAAATCATTATATCCCTTCTACATTTAGTCAAAAACACCTGTGTGAAATGTGAAAGCCTCCAGGCCTAGCCTTATGGGAGCTGTTGACTTTTTACTCTTTGTCACTGAAGTCCTCAAACTTTTGGAAAAGGGCTCCAAATGACCAAATTGTGCTTTTACTCTTTAATTTGAAACACTGAAAAACATACTGAAGCATTTTGATCCCTAAAAAACCTTTTTACATCATTAAAAACAGTGTTGATACCTGTTTTTCTCACCCATTTTCCTCAGCTGTGAGGTAGGACATTTTTACAGCTTTACAGCCAATCAGCATTTGCTCAGAAGAGCCCAGCCCCCCTGCCTTTGGTTCATTGGACAGCGCAAATGCCTGTCTTCGAGCTAGAATGATTGACAGAGGCGGCAGCCAATAGCAGCGCATTCTACGACTAGTAGAAGATCGTCATTGGGTCTATCATTAAGGTACGCTCGCTGTCTTTACCGGAGCTTCCCGAACGGAAGTTTGAAGATAGACCGCCAATTTGTCGGCAGTTAGCTAACCATGGATGTAGCTAACACAAGCTAGCCAAAGCCAAGAGGCCGGAAGGAGGGAAGTGATGGGAGTTGTCTCTCGACAGACTCAATGGACTTCACCATTTGGAATACTTTTATGGAAAACCCTTTTTATTTTTATTTTTTTATGTGTGGACCCTTTCGGATTCAAGGAATATAAACAATCGAGGAATGGACAAAAAGACGGACTTCGCAACTTTCAAAAGGTAGGGAGTTAACACCTGTCGCCATCTTGCTGATATGTGATGCCGGTACATTATATGTTTGTACAAATGGTTGCTGTAAAATTAACGGATCTAAGGAGGTGTAGCATGTCAGGAATTACAAAAAATATTATTAAGAATAAAAAACCGAAATCTCTTATTTACAAAAGTATTCAGACACTTTGTCATGTCACTCCAAACTTTGGTCAGGTGCGTCCTGTTTGCTTTAATTGGATGTGTCCAGAAGTTTATTGCAGTCACCTGTGTTGGACATTCGTTTAGAAAGCCACACACCTGTGTATGAAAGGTCCAACAGGTCACTCTGTATTGTCAGGAGCTTCCCAGTTGGCTTGTGGTTCTGTTTCTCAGCTTTATTCACATACAAGTTAAACTACAGCTCATATAAACAGCCATGTGTTTCTGTTGGTAGTGACTGTTAATTCAGTTTAGACTCTGTCCCAGAAATCGGGGGTTATGCTGCTATAATGTGGCATTACTTATTCAATTCAAAATAAGTTTAATCTTCAGTCATTTGCACAATAAGGCATAAAAATCTCAGCAGTCCACAGATGGACTGAGTCCAGTAAACATAGCTGCTACCTTTAGTGGCACCACTGTCTCTGTAGTAAAACAAAGGCTCAGCCAGCACAAAATGTTTTTACTGCTAATCATGTGCTGTCACAGTGAGCAGCCTCTGAGCAGTACATCTGTTTCTTCTTCCTTTGATTTTTGTTGATGAAATCTGAGTTCTCTCTTTCTCTGATTTGATGACTGCTGCCGCCAAAGCTAACTGTGTTTTTCTCTAATTTATAACAAAAAGAAAACCCACCCTTGCTGTGTCTGTAAACATAGATCCTTGTGTGGTATTTAGAAATAGAGATGTTACGTAATTCAATATATTTGTATATATATATATTAAAAAAAAAAAGATTGTTTAAATTCCACTTTGTCTGTGGCCCTTACACGTGTGGCTAAAAATGCTGAAGCTACAGCATTTAGTGAGGGTTTATAGGATTAATGAAACAGCTTTAAACCTGAAATATACTCAGAACAGGTTAGGACGATGCACTATCGACCATATTGGAAAAAAAACATACATTAATACATACTTTTTTAGGGTGGTTTGAAAATGGGGGCGGCAATCTGGTGGCCCAGTTCAGTATTTCACAGGGATTATGTCCTTATTGAATGATTCTGCACCGTGTGGTCTGCACTGGCTCTAGTGAGACTAGTGGTGCTAAAATAGCCATTTGGCTTTTGGTTGCTCTTTTTGCTGCATTATTTCCTCCTGTGATGTCATCATTTCCCTTCCTATGTGCTTGGCATTTGATTATGGAAAGTTTTGTAGGTTGCATCGTTGCCGAAATGAGATGAGTAGTTTGTTATAAATGTTGAATTGGAGTCCCGTCTGTTTTCGTAAAACCCTCTTTGTTCCCAGACTGCTCTAAATAGATGGCAACCGCAATGAGCATATGCAGAGTCAGTCTACACATTAGCAACTTGGTTTCTGGCTACTTTGCAAGCTTCAGTTAGAGCTTTCAACTGTGCTAGTTGTGCTGAGCATGGCGGATCACAACTTTCAGCCTTTTACTGTCATGAAACCTCCATTTTCCTGGTTTACAACAGCAAACCAGACATGATTACCCTGATGGTCCGGGGACACGACATTAGCAGTAATTAATAACGTGTTTTTCTTACCGGCACCATTATCTTTCCCTGAACATAACCGAGTGTTATAAGCCTAACCTTAACCTCACCTTCACCATATTTAATTCACTTTAATGTATCTGTATTTTTAGAACATCACAATACTGGTATGTTGCAACACAAACGCATCACTTTTTAGTGTCCCCTGGAAACACTTGTTGTTGTTGTTGTTGTGGTCCGTGCTACTTGCAGTGCATTTGTGTATTTGGTTGTGTTGTGAGTATTTTCAGCACGTGTTGTCAAATTAATTAAGATGTTTTCTGCATTTATTTGTGTTTTCTTAAGTTGCAGTGCGCTGAGCTCTCAGGGCCACCGCACAAAATTCCTAAAGAGTATAAATTGGTCTTGAATTTCTTTGGATTAACTTCATCATTGATAAGTGTTTTTGGTTTTGGAAAAATGAACAGTTATTGCTTCAACAGTCGTCTGGAATAACTCGCACAGTAGAATCATTAATAAATAAACCAGTCATTATGAATTTATCACTTTCTAAAGCCACATTCATCTCATAAAAAACAAGAAGGGAGTATTTATTTGACAGAAGCATCATTAACATGTGGCATAAATCTGGTATATATCTGTTTCGTAAACAACTTCTTTTTTTTTTTTTAATATTCCTGGAAATCTGTGATGAAGAAGACACAGAGATTGGTGCTATTGAAGCTGAAGCTAATCTATTCCATCATACAGAGCCAGAGCTTTGTTGCTGTTGGCCTCTGGTCGGTTGAGAGAAAATTCATCCCAGCACTCCCAACTTGTGTTTTCCAAGATGAAGGCAATTACCTAAAATTTAGAGAAGAAAATAGTGTTTTTATTATGTAATGAATATAAAATAGAATATTTCTTCCCTCGCTGTCATTTCTGTGCAAATATATTTGATAGAAATACTCTGCAGAGTGTTTTCAGCAGCTGCAACCTGTTACTGATGAAAGACTGAAACAAAAGGTGCAGCCTCTCTGCTGGGAAAAGACAGGTGGATGAATGTGAATTACTGGGACCCATCCTTCACCCCCTCTGCTCCCCTCTGCATGTGTTGCCTCCATTGCAGCCCCGTTGCGTAACAACGGCGGGCTCTTACTCGGTTCCTTGTAAACTTTTACTGCAGAGCCAAACATGTTTTTGCAGATGCATTTACGGCTTGTTTACATTTCGTGCTTATCTGTTGGACGTGCTCGGCCCGAGGGGAATTTCAGACGAACCGGATACAGCAGTTTGTGAGGAGAGTGATAATGCTGTGCTGCGCTTTCGTGCCAGGAAAAATAAAACACACTGCATGACTAATACACGTCATACATTCCTAATCAATGGAGGGGTTGGATTCAATGGAATATTCCACAAATCACATCCTTGCCAGATTCATTAGGCTTTTGTATCCACAGAAAATAATAGTTAGACGTTCAAACTCCTGCGTTTCAGAAGTGACCCCAGGACCTGGGTAATGTTACCGGCCATTCATGCGGCTGACATCTTGCAGTTATGCCAAAAGTGAATACATTTGTTCCATTATTTTCCAACATCCAAGGACAGTGATGACAGCCGTCTGAAAAGCAACGACCAGTGTTTCTCCCCTCGCCACAGCTCGCTGCATGTCCGTCCACCAGCAGCTCCACGCCACCAAATACCTGCTAATAGAAGCAACGAGAAAGAAAATCAGTTCACCCTCCCGCAGCATTTTCCATCAGTTTCCATTCATTTCTGATGAGCTTCTCGGCACTTGACTTGATGTTTTTGATTCTTTCCACTACAGCTCAGACTTTAATCTGCTCTCAGGTTTTGGAAAAGCCTCGTTTTAGCCAGACATGGAACATCCAGCCTTCATTCCAGTGTAAATTCCTCTGGGTCACGTGACGTCCCTCAGTGTAGTGGACTGAGGAAGGAAGAGGAGGTAAACATGCGAGAGGGGCTGTCCACACGGCTTGTAGCAATTAACCACGGGCTTACACCTTACCCTGCTGCTCCACCCTGTAATCACAGCTGCTAAAGACACACACTTTGATAAATGTCCCCCAGCGCATGAACATCGCAGCGGCCAAAGCAAAGCTTGTCTTATATTGTTTCATCGGGCAGGAGCTCGAAGTAAATGACTTTGTCTTTTTGAATTTCAAACAACAGAAAGACGTTGACAGAAACATCAGATAATATATTG